CCACACATGTCTCAGTCCGAGCAGTACGATCATGTGCTCGGTGAGGAATTCGATGACTACGAAGACCGGAGACGGTGTTCCTCGTGCCGGACTTCGCCTCGTCGCGGATCCAGGACTCGCTGTCCACCACAGCGTTCGACATCGAACAACGCGGATGTGTATCTTATAGTGTTGATGGTCGGCCTCACGGCTGGAATTTTGTGGTTGATCTACGACCCGTTGTACGATATCGACATGAACGGTGGCACTCCGCATTTTTCTAGAGCAAAGCATCTAAAAAAAATGCAAAAACCGCCACTGCTAAAGAGATTGTGGCACGTGGTCATGCCGTCGAACTCGAAGCGATGCAAAAAAAGTTGCCGAAAAAATGTTGACACCGCCGGCCGACGCAAATACGCTACGAGTTCCACGTCCAGGCCATGTGCCATCTCTCTTGCATCGGCGGTTTTTGCATTTTTTTCAGATGCTTTGGTCGCTGTGGATACGACGGATAAGTAGACTCTGCATCTGCATCTGGTTCATTGTCGTCGAACATCAGTTAAATACGCCTTGAGGCGAGGCCAATCCGAAGTGTTCCTCTCATGATAAACATTGACGAAAATGCGTTTATCATAATTCATTGTGCAACAACTTAAATTTTGTGGTTTTACATAAATATATATAAATTAATAAATACAAGGTACAAGTGTTATTTTCTACGTTTTTTAGGTATACTTACGTATTAAAATAGATCATCCAAAGTTACCTATACTAAAATACCTGTAAGCAATTGGTTGATGGTTCAGTTTTCGACTCCCGTGTCACGTTTCCATTCAAATTATCCAATTATTTTTCGAAAAAGTCACGTGACCTCATTAATCCGAGATCACCAAAATTGCAAAATCAATTAAAAATTACTCGTTTCACGCCATAATTTATACACCTACCTTAAATGTATATTTTGTAATTTTTGATATAATTTTTAAGGGTCTTTTTTGCACTTAAGGTGATAGTGGAAAGTGGAAGCAGAATTGTAAATTGAATATAGTATTATAGTATTAAGTCATTTAAAAAAATTAATAATCCTATTAGAGAATAATTTTATTTATGCATCAAAGCATCGGGCTCACTCCTCAAGTTCTTCGTTACCACAAATCACAATAATATAGTGGTGGTCAGCTAAAATATCACTTTTAGTATTTTTAATATTTAAAAGAAACTAAATCGCTGTATTAAAACTCTGATTCAAAAATATAAATTGTATATGATTCTAGGTCATTTTATGTTTTATAAATTTATAATATTATTATTTAATGTTCTTAACACTCCCAGAGTACTCCCAGAATAATTTAAACTAAACCATTTTAAATATGGGATACGTTTTATAAAATTGACTTTTTTCATGTAATTTATTAAATGCTGCGTACAAATTAATTTACAGTTGTTTTCGAATTTATGAGATCATGCTAGATTGTGTTTCTAATTTCTATATGCACCTATTATATTAATAGTAATGGGATGGTAATAACTAAGGATTTTGATGCACTTAGGAATTGTATTCCAATGTTAAGGATACGATGCCCGTGATATAACATAAAAGTTTCATATATTTTTAATTCTGAGTAAAAAGTTAGCACTTTTTGACAACATATTAAATCTTAAGGTCATTTTTTAATTTTTAAATAATTTTAAAATTTTTATGGCATTTAAAATTTAACACTAAATTACAGTTTTTAAAACTATATTATAAGAATTTTATTTACAAAAAGAACTTTTAATAACAAGGTTTTTCTGATCAAATAATATCATAATTTTTCGAATAGAATCGTATGGCATCAAAATCGAAATTACGAGTGCGGAATGACGACGGAAAATGAACTAAAAATATTTCCTATTTTGGATTAAAAGTCCAAAGCAAAACTTTTTTTTAATTTAGTTAAAAGTATTTTTTGGTTCAAAACTTGTTTAAGATAAAACAATTAAATGAATTTTATAGGTGCATTATTTTGAAATTTTAGCAGAATTTTAAAAACATTTTTTATTGATTTTTTTAAGGCCTTATTATTCCGAGGTCCCACCTTAAGCAATTGCTAATACTTGATACACTCAATAGTATTGATAAAAATAATATACGTATAAGCAATTATATACAACAACAAAATAGCAACTTGTTTCACACCGTCAACTGTGGTTTAACGTCCCACGTTAGTTTGGTTGTCTGTAGACAGCTAGTAGATATTATTATTATTTATTAATTTTATAATATTATCTTCCAACGTATTAATCTTTTGTACTGTGCTTGTGGCTTATATTGACTTAAATGTGCTTAGTAAATATTTATTAAAATATCTGAAAATATATTATACAAAAATATATGCTAAATGTCCGTCTAAATGATGACAGTATCTGATATATAAATTATAATTTATAGTAAATCAATAAATCAATGGTAGAATATAAATTTGTTAAGGCTTATTACAAACTATAAAGTGTACTTATAACTATAACTAGTTTCACTTTATGTGTGTTATCGTTATGTATATTTTATGCATTTTAACATTTACACAAAATGTACATGTACGATGTATCTACTATTTTAAAATGCTCATATAGTCATAACTTACCTACTATAAAATTAAAACGGTTCCTACTCGTACCAACAACTGATAGCCGATAGATATAAATTGTTAGTTAACAATAATATTTATTACGGTTATATTTGTAGTTTGTACCAACACATATAACTTATAAGTATTGTTGCATACGCATCTATTATGTAATTATGTATGTTTTTTATTTATATTGTTAGTTTTTTATCATTTTATGTTTGATTAATGTGTTGTACGTCATTTATATCTACCTATGTCTATGTGTAAATAATGAATTGATTGAACAAGAAAATTATCATAAGTAGTGGTACCTACCTACCTTATAGTACCTCGGTACTTAAATATTACAGCCATAGACATTCTAACAAACTAGAACTTCTACGATTATAAGTTCTAATGAATAAATAAGTAGTAAATATTTGCTAATTATATAATATTATAAGCTATAGCAAGATTTTATTTTATTTTTAATATTTTATTAGGTAGGTAAGTAGGTACGTCCTGCTTTAAATCATTTTAACGATCAAGTTATAAAATTTAATTCATCGAAAGAATATAGGTGACAAACATTTAGATTAAAAAAAAAAATGAGAAAACTTAGAAACAAACAGCAACAATTATTATAATCATCCGGATTAGGTCTATGTCTCTTGTCTGTGTTGGTTTGTTTATCGAAAATAAATTGTCACTAGACAATAGCCAATTGGCTACATGTGAGTAGAACACATGGGTAAGTATACCTACGTATCTAATGTAGTTATATTTCTTCGTAAGTTTAACGTTTGTACACGGTCAATATGTCAGACGCACATTTACATGACAAATGATTACCCATTATAAGTGTTTACGTTCTTACGTCTCGTGTTTACCAGAAACTCGTGAGATTTCGTCACGGTTTTTAACACTGTCCGCTCTTCATTGCTTTCCCACGGTGTTCAGTGATTACTGATTACAAATTGAAAATAAGCTCGTTCGTACACATTTTTACAAACTATATTTTAACTTTTAAGACGTACATCGGTATACGTCTTAATACTTAATACTTATATCTATAGTTAATAGGTAGAATTATACCTATCTTATACGGTAGGTAAGTACCTACATTATATAAGTGAAACTAATAAGTTATATAATATTATAAAACAAACTTTGTATCAATATGATTAGACTCTGGATACGGATTACACCTACGTTTATTTTAATTTTACGAAGATTCTTTTTATGACGGGTGAAGTTTGAAATTTGAGCATTGATACTGTGTAGTTTATAATGACAGTTGGATTGTACCCATCATATTGGCTATATTTATGTATACCTATTACTAAGACGTGTGCCACGTATCATATAAAAATACAGATAGTAAAGTAAAACAATGTAGAGAAGAACGAAGTTATCTTCTATATTTTGTTTAAAGTACTTTACTTGATAATAAGTCAATTTAACAACTATACCGAGTTGCTAAAAAGTTGAGAAAAATCTAAATCACAATCTCAAAAGAAATGTTTTCCCAAGAACATCAAACAATAAGTAAAATATAATTTAGTATAAAATGGTCAATACGGTTAACGATTCATTCAATCACAATAAACTTTACGATAGGTTTAATATAGCTATAGCGATAGTCCTATAATAGCTATCGCTTCTCGAAAATTAACAAAAATTAGGAAAAGAAATAATATTTTTCCCATCTAAAATAGAACGGTATAATATGTTATTCAATATAGATGGTACGAAATATGTACAATATTAGGTATATAAACACAATTTAATATTATTGTGAATTGTGACTTAATTGTTCGGTATGTTACCATAAATAATAAATTGGTAAATACTAAATAGTGTGTATGTAATGTACTAGGTACACTTATATAATTGTGGATATAACTACATAAGAATATAAAATAATGAAAAAAATTCTGCAAACTGTACAAAATTACGGTATTGTTTGTTTAATATTCTTAGGGGGACTTAAACTTCAAATCATTTATTTTGGGGGGACTAAGCCCCCGTAAGCCCCCCCCCGGATCTCCGCTTATGGTGCAGTAGTAGGTTTAATACAATTATTCTGGCAAGGAGGCGATTAGTGGGGAATTTTTTCTACAATATATTCCTTTTACGTGTCTCTAATTTCCTACATCCTCAGACAACCGACGATATTTCAAAACAAAACTACTGTAATAATATGTCACAGATTTCTATACGGGTAGGTAGCAGAGAAGCTGTGTAACATGTTGGCCACCGACATGGCCTAGCGAGTAGCGAGTAGCGACATTGCGATAATCCGGATTCTCGACGACGTGTGTGACGTGTGTGCAGTGTGCACCGCGTATGTGCGCGCGCACCGTATGATAACAGCTCGTTACGGTAAATATAATTGGATATCGGAATAACAAATTAACGAGTTACAATTTTTTTATCTTCGCTGACCCCATGCATGCACGCAAGTACAACAACTGAAGTACTACGATATTATCATAGTCGCTCCGATAATCGCCGTTTTTAATTTTTATACCTATTATCATAATTCATAACATTACATACGCTCGACTAGTTCCCCGCCGAGGTCACACTCTTGCACCGGCATCAGACAGTCGAGAATCCCAGATCACATTTTTTTCGTGACCGCACCGGCAGACAGTGTCGATCGAACGCCATTCCTAAGCCGGCAGTCGAGTTGGTAGACCAGTTGACAAGACTTCACGAGGACGCGCCCCAAACGACAACTTCGAAAATGGTGAGTATTATTGTTTATAGGCTTCCGTTTTTCTGTTTCTCAGCCGGTAGAAATCTAAAACCGTCTTTTACCCAAAGTCGTCCATGATTTCTGCTCTTTCAACAATATTACTGTTTGACCCGTGACCTCTGTGTCCTTCAAGACGTCTATGCCCGTGTGGAGACGTGTGTGTGGTCGATGTTACGGGATGTATAGACAGACGGCCAACCGACTAGAGACCGTCATTAGCGATAATGTTATCCTTCTCTGCGACCGTCTAGATTCTAGGAGGACTTTGTATTATTTTTTCCGACAGTAGCTAAACCCCTGGGTGTGATATCCAAACCGATAAAACATTAAATGTATCTATTTCAATATTATATACCAACCTGCACTACTTGAAGAAACATTTTTTTTTGTGAGCATTTATTTCAAAAACTATAATATAGGTATAGGGTATTAATATTTTTGGAGAGCCACATTAAGTTTATTGGGCCCATAAAAAAATCAAAGTTCAGAATTATTTAATGCACCTATTATACATTTCTGCGCTGTTATGAAGGTCTATAAGTAGTAGGTACCTAGTTAAAACATATTATATAAGTAGGTACTTATTTTTCATTAACATATTATGTAATTTTTATGATTAGGAAGATTTATAACATCATTCTAAATGTCCAACCATTTAATCATTCTTATACTCTAAACACCAGTTAAATTAAAGTGTGTTAGGTTTGGTGTTAGGCACCTACATTTGAATTACTTAGGGCTGTTCTTACAGTGTCCTGTTAAAATAAATGTACACTTAACCAGCGGAATTCTGCCAGTAATAAAATCTGTTATCAGCCTGTTAGCAATAACCGACACTTAACTGGACATTATAAGAACCAGTCTAAGGCACCTACAACCTACTTACCTAAATTTCATCATAGACCATATAAGCAAATTTGAATGTTTTAACTATCACTGAAATTTTAATTTTTTAAATATAATTATAATAATCAATACAAGTTTAAATACTTTTTAATCATTAACCTCTGTATACCTATTATATGGAGATTACAATTAAAGTACCTATTTGAAATCAATTATATTAAATATTATTTTTCTTGTTGTTTAAATGAAAAATATAATAAGTAGGCACCCACTATCTATATTATTAAACTATAATTTAACATATTACAGATTAGGTATATTTTATTTATACATCTTAGTTGTTGAAATTTTCCAACAAATCTATTCTCATTTCAATATTTATATTCAATGTTTTTTTCCTATTGTTTTACTATGAATTTTATTGTGTTTTATTAAAACAAATTACAATTTTATGGAAATTATTTATATTAACAAGAATATTAATTAAGAATGAATAATTTTTTTTAAAGCTCTTATATCTACTTCATTTAAAACCTATTTGATTTTATTTAAATTGTTATTTGTTATCTTTCTGAATTGCATATTTAAATAGAGAATAATATACGTGAATAAAAAAAAAATTACTGATAAAATGTTATCTGGATTAAATGATATGTATTAAGTAGGTAATTTAGTTCATTTTTTATTTAAGTTCTAATATCTGATGTAAACATTTTTTTTTTCATATAAAATATGTATTAAGTATTATATTTCAACAACAATTAATTTTAATGTATACTTAACAATTTTACAAGGTTACTTATTCTTAACTTAGTAGCAAAGTATTAAAGTATTTGAAATTGTAACTAAGTTCATGATATGTTTTTTTCTTAACCAGTTGTACTAGATTTTAAAAATGGCTAATGCCTCCTTATTCAGTTATGCCATATACCTTTACTAGGTTAGAGTTTTTCTAGAACAAATTATAATTCACAATATTAAACTTGAAATGATGCAATTTTTGCTTCTTGTTTTATTTAATTGGTCAAAATAAATTGTGATCTATACCTAAATACTTAATTTAAAAATTGTTATATTCTCAATTTTTCGTGTCTACTTTGTTATGTGGGCATTAACTATTTTACAATAGTAAGTTTTATGAAACCGTTTGGATGTATAGTAGGTATCACTTAAACATTGAGTAAGTCACTCTAATGTGTTAAATTTGAATTCAATAATAAATCATTGCATAGTTATGAAAAACAATTCTGAGTAAAAGTAGTTTGCATGTTATTTTTTATTAATAATACTATAGATTAAAAATATTTGCCAAAAACATTTTTTTAAATTTAAATTTAAATTAAAATATTTCAGCATATTGCCTGCTATTACAAGTTACGTTCTAGTCACAAATTACAATAAAAAAAAAAAATATTATATAATTAATAATATTCATAGTAGGTATCATACTATATTATTGTAAATTGTTATTAGTTTATATTTCAATATTGTGGTACAATAGAGCGGCATAAAATAAGTTCATGTTATAAATATCTAAATTACTCTAAATATTTTGAACATCTAATTTTGTCTAAATTTGAACTTCAAATGCTCATAAAAATTATGATGGCTTTACGCTTGACTTATTATTTTATAATTTCAGTGAAAATAACGTATGAGGAACCTCATACTACATTTGCAACCCAAGATATTAAAAGTTGTATGCTTTTTTTATTTTTTAACTACAAAATAATATGTGAACTTACGTTATTTTAAAGAATTTTTCCCAAATGTTGACTTATAATAATTTAAAAAAAAAACTAATATTAAATTAACTGACAAAATATTTTTTGATATTTTTTGTGTACTGTAAGATAAATTTCTGAGAAACTTTGTACAAAGTTATCAAACTTTTTTACTTAAAAACAAACATTTTATCATACAAAAACTAAAAAAGCAGAAAAAAGTTATGAAATTTAAAATATTAATAAATACTACAAAAAAGGCCAAAATAATTTGAAAATTATTCTGCCTAGACAATTCTATTTTAAATATTAATTGCTGTACCTACACGTTTAATGTCAATGTATATTATTTATTTTGAACAAGATTGGTTTTCTAAAACTATTTAGTCTTGGGTACCTAAATACTCCCATTGTTACATAATTAGTTTTGAGTATTTTTAATAGTACTATGAAATATTTGCTTTTGAAACAAAAATAAACTACATTTTGTAATATATAACTGTATGATAATATTTAGCTTACTTTTATTAGGCTGAAGGTGAACCAATCAGGGTAGTTGTAACTGGCGCTGCAGGCCAGATTGCATACTCATTGATATCTATGATTGCCAATGGAGATGTATTTGGAACAAAACAACCAGTCATTTTACACCTCTTAGATATCCCTCCAGCAATGGGAGTTCTTGAAGGAGTTTGCATGGAAATTGATGATCTGGCTTTACCCCTGGTGAAAGGTTAGATAATTTATTTTAAATATAATGTCTGTAGAATTTGATTTTGCTAATAATTCAATCTTATATTTAGGCTATGTAAAAACCACTGAACCAGAAGTAGCATTTAAAGATGTTGATGCTGCTTTCTTGGTGGGTGCAATGCCAAGAAGGGAAGGTATGGAAAGAAAAGACTTGTTGTCAGCTAATGTGAAGATTTTCAAAGTACAAGGTGAAGCTTTGAACAAATATGCTAAGAAAGACGTTAAAGTTTTGGTTGTTGGAAATCCAGCAAACACCAATGCTTTAATATGCTCTTTTTATGCTCCTTCTATACCTAAAGAAAACTTTACTGCTATGACAAGACTTGATCAAAACAGGTATAATTTAAATTATTAATAGTTATACATTTACAAATTGAATAATATGATTGTTTTTAAATAAAAAATATAGAGCCCAATCAGCTATTGCTAAACGTCTTGGACTATGTGTAAGCAATGTCAAGAATGTAACAATCTGGGGTAATCATTCGTCTACTCAATTCCCTGATGTTTTTAATGCAACAGTTAAATCATCTGGCAGCTCAAAAAGCGTATATGATAGCATAAATGATTCACAATGGCTTGAAGGTGATTTTATAAAGGTAAGAAATTATGTTGAACTGAATAATTGTTATTAGCTTAAAACCATAATATCCAATATTACACTCTACCGCAGCCGTACAAATTTGCTGAGAATACAATTTATTTGATTGACCCATATTTAAATATATATAAATATAGTGGCATAATTTGGAGTAAAATCATAGGAAGCAATCGTCTTGCATGACATTTTTAACTTCGGTTGATTGATAAATATTAGTAAATTGTTCATAATAATTTTGTAGAAACATATAATAAATCTCACAATTTAATTTTCGAGGAGGTATTCAAGACAATTAATCATATTCCACTTCATTACCATTATTATCTCCTAATCAATTATTATTTTGTTTAATGCATACCAAAAGTGTTAACTAAGGTTGAACAATTTGATCGTTTTTTATAAAAAAAGTTTAAATAAAATAAATATAGCTATTTATTTGTAAACCTCAGAAAATTGATTGGGTAGTAATAGCTCCCTCACAATGATGCCTATGTTATATATTAAAATATTAAATAGCAAATGCCAATCATTATAAATCATAATTAATTTGATTTTAGACCATTCAAACTAGAGGAGCGGCTGTGATTCAAGCTAGAAAGATGTCGTCAGCTATGTCTGCTGCTAAAGCAGCTGTTGATCACATGCGTGACTGGTGGTCTGGAACTTCTGATGGTACTTGGGTTTCAATGGGAGTTATCTCCGATGGTTCATATGATGTGCCAAAAGGTTTGATTTATTCTTTGCCAGTATCCATTTCAAATAAACAATGGAAAATTGTTCAGGTATAGTTTTATAAAAAAAATGTTTTATTATTTTGAATTTTACTTATTTATATTATTATTCACATTGTATAGGGTTTGAAAATAACCGACTTTGCCAAGACCAAATTGGATTTGACAGCTAAAGAACTACTCGAAGAAAAAGAAGAGGCTATGGCTGTTTGTAATGCTTGACATGTGTTACCCCCAACCAACTGTAAGCTCTGAATCTGCTGCTGTATCCCGGGCACGATTTTTTTTACTAGTGATTAAACACGAGGTTAGGGGGTCATCCCAATCTCAAGATTGTCATTCATGAGTCATACTTAAAGATCTTACAATGCTGCATTCATTCCCAAAAATGTATGCATTCTTTAATTAATATGTTACTACCTCTAAATGTATTTAGTATGTATCATAGTATTTAAAACAATTATGGTAATGGAATTTTTATTTTTATTATAATATACAAGGTGCCCGGATATAATTTGTTTATTTATTTTTTTACTTAATGAAAGTTTAGAGACTCGTTTTATAGAATAATTTTTCAAGTGTATATTACTATACACAAATTAATTAAACTCGTAGGTACTGCAGAACAGTGGCGCCAAATATGTACTCTTATGGGGCAGTTCGCCCCTTAATTTTATTAGGGTGGTTGGGTCTTGTGTGGACGGGTGTCAGGGTGTTTAAATTGACCACCTTGTGGGTGGTGGTGGTAACCAATTTTTAAACTTTGTCCCACCAAATAAAATACAAATCTTGTAATGAAAAATGAAATTCTACTGCTGCCGAATATTGATTCTATTGAAACAAAAAAAGCTGTATGAAAAAATAAATTATAACTTCTTAAATTGATTTTATATTATACGGTTTATTAATTAATAGATAGAATGTTACTAATGAAAAGTAAGGATTTTATTTATATGCATTAAAAATCAGTGTGGTTAGGTAACCAAACATTAAAAAAATAATTAGAAATGTTTTGTTTCTTTTTATAGAAAAATAAAAATAGAAATATAAATTTGACCTACACTGTTTGAATATCAATTACTCCAACAGTATTTATATTAAATGTGATTCTTGCTCTATGAATATAGTGAGTAGACTCTCCAAGTGAACCTATATCCAGGGACATATTTAACCTAAGTAATAGAGATATTTGACCTGGGCTGCCAAATTTTGGTATATTTAGGAAGGGGTGGCCAGGCGGTGGTGGAGTCCAGTATAATGTGGTAATAATAACCTTTTTTTTGTTAAGAATTTGGTAATTTTCTAAAAATGAGTGGTCAGCAAGAGATAACGTATATGTGCAAGTCTCTAAACAAAAATTGGTTTTTAATTTTAAGTACATTAACTGAGTTTATTGGAGATAAAATTAAAAACATGTCAACTTACTGCAAATCAAAAGGTAAATTAAAAATTATAAATACCTTAAAAACATTTATGTCAACATTTTAGAAAGGTTCATTACATATTGTAAGAAATTTACAGTCCATTCAAATTTATTTTGGTATATTGTTGAAATTTACCTATCATTGATAGTGTTGAACATGATTTTAGGTGTGATGACAAATTTCATTACAAATGTAATCTCATTACAAAACTTGACCTGTTGAAAAATGTGGCATTTTTAATTTAAAAACAATATGATGATGAATAATGATGATTTTGAATGTTTTAAAATTGATACTTATTTCTTGATTTTATACCCAATTTAATTTGATTTTTAAATGAGGAAAATTACTTATGACAATTTAAATTCCGAGTATAAATGTATATCGCCTATGAGAGGCTCAAACCTGTTGAAGTTCGAAACAATTGCAAAATGTATACAAAAATGATTTAGGATTCTCATTCTTAATATAATGTGCTTATTTTCAGTCTCATGAAAAATTTAAAAAACAAAATTGTTTTTTGTATTTTATTTAGAAATGTCAAATGAGTATTTATATTTTATAGAACAAATAACCTAGTTGAAGTTTATATATGGTACATTGATATTATAAATAATAATATGTACCTACTCCGGCCATAATTTTTTTTTTTGCTGAACAGTATATTAAATATTTATGAGATATTTTTTTAATAAGTATACAGAGACCTTAGTTTATTCTTATATTGAAGACATAATAATACATACATAATAATACTTACACTGTACTATTATCAAAATCTTCCTAAGGGTCCTTACCCGTTTATTAATAATAAAATGAAATAAAATAATGTACAGCGTACTATACAATAGTCAATTTTGCTGTTATGCAGACACTTTTCTTTTTCAATGGCAAAATTTCAATTTCACGATTTTGTAACATTTGAAAGTTTTGTTTTAAAAAAAATGTCAGTGAAAACAATAATTTCATCATTTCTCATAGAATTAAGTAACTTTTTTAATGACTACAAGTACTACAGCAGTTAGTAATTGTATGCCTGATACCTGTAGAAAAGCGCTTGTTTTTAATATTGATGAAAGGATAATATTATGATCTAATATTAACATTGCAAAAACGAATTAAAACATTTTCATATTATTATGGAGAATAAGCTCAATCTTTTTGCTAAAACATCTAACTATATTTGTAATTTCTTCAATTGCAGATAATAAGGAATAGTTTTCATTAACTGCACTACCTAATGACTTCTGAGTAGCAAGCCCATCTTGCATTAGAAATCATGGACTACAATTTAATAGATTATGCATATAAATACTTGCATAAATTATTATATAATTATTAAGTACAATAAATAACATTAAAAAATATGAATATAATATACTTACTTTTAATTTTTATATAATATTGCATTATTCCCTACCGACTCATTGCATTATAATTTTTAACAAAATAATTTGATTCAAAAGTGATAATTATTAATTTGTATTAAAAATATATTATATTAACTAGAACAAAATGAATACTAATGTGTAGTATTCAATTAATTATTAGGTAAATCAACAACCCAATTCTTAACTATCTATATGGTAATCTGGTGTCTTGTGTTCATTTAAATGCTTTAGCCAGACCACTTTTCTCTTCGTTTATTCTGTCTTTTGCAATACTTGCATGCAGTAGCACAACTAGGGCTAAAATATTTGGGAGAACTGTAGTTCCCACCTCATATTACATGAAAAGTACCCCATGGTTGTTGCCCCCCCCCCCCTTCGCAATATAATATATAAATGTATTGACATAAATTGCTTCCTTAAAAACTAATACAGACATACAGCTAATGATGATATATTTTATCCATATTTATCATAGTCAATATAAAATAATAATGAACTATAAACAATTTAATAGTCCTAGTTGAGTTTATGTTCTCATGAATAAGTCATAAGTGAATAACACATGTTTTTATGTATATTCCTAGAATAGAAAAATGTTAATTAGTTATTTTAAGTATTTTGTAAAATTGTAATTGCAACTTATAAACAGAAATGTTCACTTACTAACTCCAAATCAACAATCGGAATATCTTTTTTCTCGGTAATATTCATCTTGCATATCAACGCATGGTTTATTGCGGTAGCCTTATCCAATAACATTTTGTCGCAGATTCTACACACCCATACTATACTGTATGGAAAATTAAGCTCTGGTTCAATTTCATACCTGACCACAATCTGGGGGTAGAATGATGGTTGTTCATGAGCGCTAGTTGTAAGGCCCTCAACTCGCTTTATATTCATTTATTTATTTTATTGACAATTTAAACTTTTAAAAAATAATAAATTTGGTATAATTGGTAATTTGGCTTAAATAACTTTTAGTTAGACGCTTATCTGAAAAAAAAATCAAAAAATATAATTATGTACATATTTTTTATTGACGTATATATAGCCATATAGGTATAATATCTGTTGACTGTTGTTAAAATATTAAATTGTAGCTTTGCGACACTAGGCGTAGGTACCTACATATACTTACCTATATCATACAGGGCGATTGTAAACTCCGACAGAATACCGGTTGGATAAAAAGGTAATGAAAAGGTATAATGTAAACTCCGCCTTTTTTATTTTCTTATTTGTAATGGTTGTATGAAAACTCCGCCAGTGCTTATGTAAAACTTAATAATATATTTCAACTAAAGAAGCTCAAATATAAAAAATGATATGAGCCGGATTATGATTTCAGCCGGAGAAAATGTTCATTTTGAGGATCGTATACATTTGTACCATTCTATCCCTATCAAATCTCGTTTCAAGCTATGTCCCCATTCACCAACGCCAATATTCATTGCAAATTAATATCAACAATCACCTGTCTACATGGACATCGGACGTGTATGGATAATATTGTCAATATTCAAAACAATTATTAGTACATATTGATTTGACAAATGCCGGAAAATTATCTGGGAAAACGACTTTTTGGCGATGTTGTTTCATAAAGTCAAAATTACATGCTCTATGGGGGAAGATTGGGTTGGTTATAAGCTATTTATATCAGTGATTTTCCCGACCATAGTTTGTGACTATATTAAAAATATATACCCATTTATAGGTGTATTAATTATCAATATATAGTAAAATATATTTATATACACATTAACGTACCTAATTTATTACTCAAACATTTTTTTTTACTTCATTAAAAATATTTTTACTTAAAGTGGAAAGTTTGTATTCATACAAAAATTAAAAAAATTACAAACATTTACGTTTTCAACTACTATGCACAACACTGCACAAACTATTATGCACCTCGTATGTATTGATGAATTGCGGCATTGTGCCTTCAGAGAACAGGTTAAGACGACGCCTCGCCCGCATGTGTAGTTGTTGTTGTCTAAGTCTTAAGCCGGTCCCACACGGCTCGTGTAATCGGCGAATATTCGTCAATCGTACTACTTTGCGAGTCGTGTGTGGGATATTTAATCGTAAAGCACGGCTATTATTTTTACTCGCCGAGTCACTAGCGGTTTCCCGTCGGTGTCGGATCAACACGAGTGACTCGTGCTGGTAAAAAATTTAATCTTGGATTTCCCCCAAAAATAGACTATTATTTATTGTTAACACCATTAGGTATATAATAATAATATCACTACAGTAGTAATCGCACGAGGCACGTCATTCCACACGAACCGTGCACTTGGCAATCGGTGTCAATATTTAAATATTAAGACTTGCCCACCAAACACTTACGGATTGGTCATCATTTTGCCGTGAAGTGACATACGATGCAATGGTGGTACGTAAGGTGAAGCTAGGCGGGTATGGGCACACGGTAGAAATCGATGAATCGAAGTTTGGACGACGAAAACACCACCGGGGCCATAGGGTTGAAAGGCAATGGGTTTTTGGGGGCTATGAACGAGAAACCGGCAACTGTCTTATGGTCCCAGTTGAAAACCGCAACGCCACAACCCTACTGGCCATTATAAAAGAATGGATAAAGCCTGGGACGACCATAATTTCAGATTGTTGGAAGGTAGTATATTTTATACCTACAATTTTAATTATAAATTTAATAATGTAAAATAATTACTAAAATATTAAATAATTATTGTTTAGGCTTACAATACCTAAGGCTATGTGCATATGACAGTTAACCATAGTCTCCATTTCAAAGACCCGGAGACAGGCGTCCATTCTAATACCATTGAGAGTTCATGGAGGCATTCAAAAGCCTCCATGTCAAACTACTGTCGTAAAAAATCATTTTATGCGGGATACTTGGCCAAGTATATGTTTACAAAACACTGTCGGGCTCATAAATTGGACCCGACAGCTGAATTTCTAAAACATGCAGGTCTAGTTTATAACATAAACAACACCGAACACGTTGGTCATGATGGCAATGAAGGTGGCGGTGACAGAAGCGACGACAGCATTGACAGCGGTGAACACCCGGGATCGAACCCGAGTTATACAGCATGGCAACGTTTAGTCAGTAAGACCTGGCCAGAATAGCCCGACGAAAATCGGGCATTTTTTAAAGTTATTTAACATGATATCTACTGACTTTGAAGTGCTATAACTTCGTAACTATGTCCGAGCGCCAAATTCTGACTTCACCATCGTTTTCAGCGTACTTAACTACTTAAGTTTCAATAATAAAAATTGCAAAAAAAAAAAGGTGTCTCGTAAAGTAGAAATATACCAAATATTTAATTAATCTTTAATTAAATTAAATTAAATTTTTTTTAACTATTTAAATTTAAATACCTTTTAGTGTATTGTGTTTATTAAAATGTCATCGAAATGGAGTGGTCTAATGAGAAGACATTGGAATTTTAGTCATTATTTGAAAAGGAGTCATTAATTTGGAATCCAAAGGACCCAATGCATAAAAATAGAAATCTTGTCAATAATGCCTGGAAAAGGATTAAAGACAACTTCAGCGAAGACATTGAAATAGTGGAATTAAAAAAGAAGAAGGATTCGCTTATGGCGACTTATCGGCCTTTGGCGCAAAAGGTGAAAAGCAGCACAAAAACTGGATCCGGAAGAGACGAAATATACAAACCAAATTGGTGCTTTTATGAAGTAATGGCGAACTTTTTACATGGAGTTTATCAACCAAAAACAACAATAAATACAGAGGTATATAAGCTGTTTTAAATCAATTTATTGTACTATTATAATACTGTAAATTTAGGTACAATGAGATAGTTTATAAGATATAACCATATAAGTATTAAGTATAGTTTTCTATTTATTATTATTTATGAAAATTAAACATAAAAAAACAGATACCCTAATACCTATGTTTACTTAAACATTTAAAAAAATAAATAACTTAGTTATATAATTTTTTTCTAAATTTCTTACATTAAATAAGTAGGGGAGACTGGGTACAATTATTGTAACATGGTACAATTAACACGGGCAATAAGTTGTTCAATAGTCAATATAAGAATCTCAAAAAAATTTAGTAGTAGACCATCTGTATAACAATCATTATACAATCGTTATACACGTACGGCATACCAAATATTTTCATTCACCAGTTTCAAAAGTGTGCTGTTAGTTTTTATGTATTGTGAATATAGTGAATTTGCTTATTACAAAATGTAAAGGTAAAATAATTTGATAAATGTTGTCAAATACTTATAAAAATAACAAAATGTCGTATTGTGCAGAAGGAATCTAAAATTTCAATTTTCTCAAAACTAATATCACTTTAGGGAGCGTAGTTAATTCTAAAAATACACGACTCATTCAACTAAACAAGTAAACATGATTGTAATAATATTAACTTATTATTGAATTTTCCCCAAAAATTAAAACTATTGCTGCACTGCAGTACATATTGTCTTTTATATAACATATATATCAATGTATCAGATTTTTCTGATATTTGTATTATATTCAATTATAAAATATTTTTTTTTAAATAATCAACCAAATCACTTTACATGAAGTATACTCAAACTAATATATAGGTACTCGCGGCTCCACAATATAAAACACTTGACAGACTTAAAAGTTAAAAGTAAGCATAATACCTACGACAATGACATTGAACGTCAAGTCGTAAATCATAATATTTATATAATAGGCACCTACATGCTACATACTACATAGCCACGTAGGTGTTATAATATAATATTACGATTTATATTTACTAGAGATTATGTTTTTCAGCGACGATTCTCGGAGCGATGAGCAGCAGCAACAGGTAAGTTCCTATCAGCGAAGGCGCTATAAGTGGTGCCCAGTGGCGACGAGTAAAAACAATTGAAAAGACGACGAACCTAATCGAACGGTATCTAATTAGATCTCTGAAGGTAGTGCCGGAATCCCCAATCAATGAACGTCCGAATCACGGCTATAGATAATTAAAATGATGGTTGGCCAACAACGCTATACTACAGTTTAAGACAGAGCACAGAAATCTGTCTAAATTGTGGACCATTGCGAGGTGTGGAGTCTGAAATCCAGGAATAGTGAAATGTCGCACGTCACACGTGGTGCACGTTCATTGGAGCTTTTGAATCGTTGACTCCATAAACGGAGTCAGCGGCATCATCCAGGTGTACAAACTGTCACAGAGTAGATTAAATTCTATTAAATTCGAAAGCTTAGATCCAAGGTCGAATGTGGATTGATATTCATACACAGCTTTTTGTAATGATAATATTATAATTCAATTGAAAACATTATTATATATATATAAAAAAGAGTCATATTACGTATTATCATCGCTCACCGTATGCATTTTTAAATTACTATTTACTTTATGACGTGTTCGTATGACACACCTGATGATGTAGACTGTAATCTGTAGCTGGGTATTATACTCTAATGAAAATGTTTTTAAATTTTTAACATCTAACAAGGCGTACTTTGCGACTAGACACACATATTATCAAGCAAAAAAATGATAAGACAAATTTGTGCTCCAGTTCGGTGCACCGTGCATTTTGTATTTAAACTTGGGTTTTCGTTGGAACTATAACAGCTAGTTACCTGAGACATTTGTTGTCGGTATGGGTTCGGACCGTACTCGGGACTGACCCAAGGGCCAAGGACCAAGATGGTCTCTTATAAGCCGGGAATACACTATCATATATACTCATATATGAACCTATAAAGATCGATGAATTTCAAACATGTTTGAATTTCCAGAAAGATTGAATGTATGCTCGGAAGAAGACGCGTCAAAAGTTGGAGTAACATTATATTAATCAAGTCTAATTGAAATTGCAACAACCAAAAAACTAGGTATGAACGACAAATGTAGTTGGAAAATAAGAAGAAAGTGCAGATCTGAAGTACTACAAAAAAACACATGGACCCAGTTGAGCCACTCAATATCTCAACGTCTTCAAAGAGTCAAAGATGAAAAGCTGGATTTGTAGCCGTTGCCCGTTCCAGTCGGCAGTCACGTCTAAACGACTGTAGAATGTAGATACACGAGTTATAAATTCTCTATAATTTATAAATTAAAACCTATAATAAATACGTTTTCGTTTGGTTATTATTAGAAATGTGCTCAACTGCACAACACCAGCCTGTGGGTTAACTATTAAACTATAAGTTCGTAATCTATTGACAATATTATACAGTGAAATTTTTAAGACATTTTTATTTTGTGAAAAAAACATTTTTTTCTGAAAATAAATAGTCAATATTATAGAAGGTAATTATTTCACTCCCATCTCTCATAGTTTTAAAAATAAATCTTAATGCTAGAAGTAAATGGTGGGTAAACATTTAAAAAAAAACATAATTATGTAGGTATTTGTGTGTCGCTATTAGTATTCAAAAATACAGTCAATTAGGTGACAAAATATTTTCAACTTAAAAATGTACTGATATTATAATGACTAATGAGTTAATAGACATTTAGGAGGTACCTGCCTACTACTTAAAAAAACTAATCGTAATATTCCTTATGACCTATGAGATCTTTTATGGAGACAAACCACAATAATTATTAAAGTTTGAAGTGTTTGCAGCTTTGTGTTGTTTGTTATGGTCCTTAAAATAATATCAATATATCATACATTTATAAATTAAAAACCGGATTTAATTGATATTGCAACTTATTTTGCAGTAATGATAAACCAAATCTGATTAAATGTATAGTTGACACATACTTTATGTATTATGCTGATTTTATTTTATCATGCAATTTTTAGCAATTTTCCACGTTTTTGCAATTTCTTACAATTTTGTGTGTTTAAATTAACTCAGCTAAATGTATTGTGTAAAAAAGCTATTACGATGTACTGAGTTTTCGTTATGAGTAGATAATCTGTGGTTGTACCTTAAAGACATTATTAAGAGCTATTATCGTAACATTTTAAATTGGATTGCTCCTCACAATGAAAACAAGCAAGTTTTTCATCAGATATGGGAAGGTTGAATATTGTTTTGTTTGTGACAAATCTGTCTAGATATGCACCAATCATTGATGTAGAAGTAGTTTTTCTCTGTACAAACACATTTTAAGTAACAGAATACCTATTTAATTTTAATGAACATAATTTGGAAATATATCTAATTATCAATTTTAATTCGAGAAAGTAACATTTGACTAACTTTTGCATTTTTATGTGCAATTTATTACAGCAATTCTTATGTATTTTTTTGGTGAATTGTAGAATTTTAAAATGCAATTTTTGTGTGTTTTCAATGCAATTAAATCCGGTCTTTATTTATATTCGATGACGGTAATAATGTAATATAAATATTTTTACGCGCATAAAGTCATTATTACAATATGCCTAATAATACCATGTCACATCATAACATTCCTTATTTCCTTCGCGTCCACCCGACGCAGTGTGATTTACCGTGAAAAAAGACAGTCCGCTGACTGCCTGAGTCACCGCAGAAGATATCTTCTCTGCGTCGTGAGCCGCACTGAAAACTTAGCGGTGGTTCATTACGATGGAAAGTACTAAGTGCTGATTGGTGACTACCGACCGGAGTACCTACGCACTACGCAGTGGTGAATCGTAGTGTGATCTAGCGGCTCGCGCTGTCATTCTCGTTGCATGTGAGAGCAATGCGGTCCGATTTGTGCGTTACTGCGTAGCACGTTACTACACGATTGGTAGGTATTCGATCAAATATCTCTGGCTCTGGCTCAATCGTTGTGCACAAATACGACGCTTTTGGTCTACGTCCACCGTGCCGTCGGGCCTCCTGACAATTAGCGGTAAAAGTCTCCAAAACCAACATGAACGGGTACAGATTATGCGGCGACATGGTTCACCTGCTAGCCTTCTTGATGCTGCCGGTCGCGATGTGGAGGACCAAATCTTGCGCTGGTAATCATGACTCATGAGCAATAACGAATCAACAAACGTTCCGTATTGTCATAGAACAAGAATAAATAATAACATCATTAGGCAAGTGCTTATCACTTATACCTTGCTCATACCGTTGGCCATGGTCGGAGTTATCAGTCTTGGCTTCTTGCTGTGCCGTTGTGGAGGTGGAACACTGTAAATCCCTCGGTTATCGGAATAAAAATCCCGGGGAAAAAATAACCCCCGACCCCAGGAAAAAAAATCCCCAGACTACAATATTACTCACAAACACATGCAAATGATTGAACAAATTTTTTTTTTAACTTTAATTACCTATTGTAATTACCAACATTATTAATATTTTATTACAAATGTATTCCTACTTAAAGTGTAGTAATATTACTACTAAAATTTAGAAAATGTTCAATTTTTTATAGCTAAGGATTGACAATTTAAAAATTACATATTATCTACGTTTCTTATAATTTTTTGGCTATAATGTAAACAAAATATTATTAGGAAGCGTTTTTACAAGTTGTACTTCGTATAGAATATAGATGAAATATTTAAAATATTATAAAATAAAAATAATGATAATTATCTAACAATAGTTAATGAAGGTACCGAAGTAAAAAAAAAATATTTCGAGTACGTCAAATAATAATAATAAATTAATTATCAAATAATGGTCAATTAATTTAGAGGTAGGTACTCACAGTTAAAAACATAATATACAGTATACAAATATTTTGAATGATCATTTACTTCTAATAATATGTCAAATCACTGTTAATTATTAGATTATCTCCTAATATTGTGGCTTACCAAATTCAACAAATTTGGAATATGTATTTTGCCACTCACAAACCTGACACAAAGTTCAATAGGTAATTTTCATGTGTTTGTGTGAGTAATATTGTAGTCAGGGGATTTTGTTTCCGGGGATTTTTATTCCGCAATTCAAATCGCTCACTCGCATAGAAAAATTACTAAACTTGGTAATCGGAAAAAAAATGAACCAGTAAAAAAACTAAAAAGTCCCACACTAGGAAGATAAAGACCCCTCGGTCTTCTCCAGCTAGTTCGCTGTGAACGTTTTTGTATCCCCTACACATATTTCCGTCCCGTTACTCTAAGGACCCGCCATTGAATATTATAATACTATATAATAACAATATTATGATACCCATCACACAATGGCTAATTCACATTCAAGCGTGCGTGAGGCTCGCCATAATCTGCGTATTTAGTAAATACTATTTACCAACTGTTGCGTATGTAGTACAAGTATTAGAACTCCGTGTATATTATTAAACACTTTTTCATTTTAGATCGTGGGAATTAATATTTATAATCATTGACAATATTCTAATGTAGGAACACATTTTCAATATTTATAAAAATACATAGGCAAAGACCATGTAATTATTAAATACTAAGGTACTAAGTATTGCAGTATAAGTCTTATACTGTTAAATAGGTACTAAAAAATTCCAAAAAATCAGAATTTGAACTAATTCATTATCATAGGAAATATTGGGGGTGAGAATGCTTGGTCTTGGTGAAATACTTTTTGGTAACTAAATAATAAATATAACTGTTATAATATAAGGGTTAAACTATATGGCTTATAGAATCAAATACTACTCTATCTCAATGATTCAAAGAAGGTTATTTAAGTGTGGCTTGCCCACTATCAATAATATTAAAATAAAAACTACATATTAGTTTATTTCTACTTGTAATTTGTTAAACATAAGAAAAAAAAGGTGACTTATTGGTTATCATTGTCCATCTCAGTTTAATTTATCCATAATACTGCTAAAAAAATAATTCTAGTAGGTTTGCAGTAGTACTGGGTAGATCATTATTTTATACTTTTATTACTATTCAGTATTCAATATCTACTAATAACAAGCTAAGCTCACAACTTAAAAATTGCCAACTAATTACAATATTATGTATTTTTATTTGTTACAGGTATTTCGGCAAAATGTCAAATACTTTTTGCACTTGTTTTCTCAGCAAGATATATTGATTTATTCACATATTATGTGTCTCTATATAATAGTGTTATGAAAGTTGTGTTTCTATTATCATCATACGGAACATTATATTTGATGTTTTATACATTTAAGACAACATACGATTACAAACATGATCGCTTTAGGTAAATAAGTATGTAATTAATAAAATAAATCTAAGCGCAAAATACAATTTTCCACCCTCACATTGGTTTTGATAGTTTGATTAGGATTTCGGAATAATAAATTATTTAGTCTATGCCAAAGTGGAGGCTTGCATTTGAAGATTTTCCGTTTTTTTTTTAAATTTACTAAGGATCAACCTTTGACAATCACATTTAAACTATATTAACTTCATTGGTAATGCTTACACCCGCATCATGTTTTCATATATATATTTTATTATATTCTGTTAAGCTGCATGTTTTTACATTGATCACAGATTACAGCGAGTCAGTGATTTAACTTCAAATGTTAGTGCTTAGACTACTGCTTCACAAGAAGTAACTTTTGGGAAACATTTTATTTTTCACATAGATATAAAATATATTGAATTAATTCTTAAATTATAATTAATTTTAATAAAATATACCAGTAGTACCTTGTACCTTTAGGCTACAGCGCAACTTTCATCAAATGTGGAAACACACAATTAGTTTATTAGTTTAGGTATATTATTGGTTAGCTTATGTTACATTGAGTTTATACAATAGATATATATGAAAATCAACTAATAAATTATTAAATTCAGCAGTACCTGATGACTGATACAAAGTAGGGGACTTAAGTAGTTATCAAACTTAAATATATACCTATATAGTTTGAAAAGTTCCAAAAAAATTTGATTAACCTTATGGTTAACTACTGAATTAATATTTTATTCCTCCCAATTTATTATTATATCAACACAAAATCATCTTAAATATTTTTTTTTAGAATCCTGTACTTGATTTCTCCAGCATTGTTAATATCATTTTGCATTGTAAACGTTTATACTATAATGGAGGTTAGTTTCTTGATGTATAAATGTAAATTATAATATAAGCGATATATATGAATAATGTTATTTTTAAATCTAGTTTTTATGGACGTTCAGTGTTGTTTTGGAATCAGTTGCAATTGTGCCACAATTGCTTATGTCAAGAACAAGCAAAGACAAATCTATCATTCCATATTATTTATTTGCCCTGGGCTCTTACAAAGCATTGTATTTACTGAATTGGATTTACCGTTATAATGAATGTGATTTCTTTGATCCAATTTTAATTGTTGCTGGAATTGTGGAAACAATCATCACATTTTCTGGTTACTTATCAATCTTCATAAAACCTAAAGTATATCCAGTATTAATATATTTATGCGTTTATTCATACTACAATTTAAAAAAATATACTATTTCATTTTTTTTCCAAAATGCATTATTATTTTCAAATAAAATCTTTATCAATTCAGTTTTTATACATACCTAAATAATGATTACCATCTTTACATACATTATTTTATTGTTGTATATAAAAACAATAATTATCTAATATTTTATCTATACATCCAAATTTTTTTGTTAGGTGGCTCTTTAATTTAACTTAATTTTTATTTATGCATAAAATAATAAAATATAAGATCAGGGTACAATTTTAAGCAATGTTATATTAGGCTAATGGGTGTGAATTTGATCTGGGTAAGCTTTGATATGAGTAATTAATTTTTCTATTTAATTTAAGAAACTTAATAACTATTTATTTTACTTAGAATATTTCATTGACATTATCGTAATAAGTTTAATACTTACCAATTACCAATATTTAGTTGTCTATTATGATTAAATATACTTAACTTTTTCCAATTACAAAAAGTTTAATTTGACCGCCGTTACATTTTTTTTTTTTAATAGGCTAAAAGTGGACCGATCCGAGTAGTTGTAACAGATGCTGCTGGTCCACTTGCCTACTCTTTGATATTCAAAATTGCCAATGGCGATGTATTTGGAACTAAACAACAAGTAATCTTACATCTTATAGATGAACCTTCAGCAATGGAAGTTCTCGATGGTGTATGCATGGAGATTGATGATCTAGCTTTACCTTTAGTCAAAGGTTTGTTAAGTTTGAATGTTGAAATATAAATATGCGTACTACATACATTTTTTTTTATGATACATAGATTATGTGAAAACAACCAAATTTGAAGTAGCATTTAAAAATGTTGATGCTGCTTTCTTGTTGGGAACAATGCCAAATAGTGATAGGAAAGAACAAAAAGACTTTCTATCATCTAATGTGAAAAAATTCAAATTATTAGGCGAAGCTTTAGACAAATATGCAAATAAAGATGTTAAAGTTTTGGTGGTTGGAAATCCAGCCAACACTAATGCTTTAGTATGCTCTATAAATGCTCCGTCCATACCCAAAGAAAACTTTACTGCTATGACAAGACTTGATCAAAATCGGTATATAATTTGTGAAATTATTACATAGATTAATTATCAAACAATTTTTGATTTAAAACGAACATTGCACTATTGCAGAGCCCAATCTGCTATTGCTATATATCTTGGACTATGTGTAAGTAATATAAAAAATGTTACAATTTGGGGTAATCAATCATCAACTCAATTCCCTGATGTTTTCAATGCATCAGTACAATCATGTGATAGTTTAAAAAGTGTATATGATGCTATTAAGGATAAACAATGGCTTGAAGATGATTTTATTAAGGTAAAGCATTCTATTGAATTTGGGTAAATGTGTATTAATTATTTAATTTGAACAATTATTTTAATTATGATATTAGTAATAAAATACATTACTATTTTCATTACTAAGAATCATAAGCTAAAATATACAAAACAAAATGTAGAAATGTATTAATTATTATTTATAAACAATGTTGTAAATTAGTACATTATTAAATCAATTGTCTTATAAAAAAAACAAAAAACAAAAATCTGGTTGAAATTTGTAGCCGATTGGTGATGTGAATTATTGAACTGAAAAATATTATTGGTAAACAGTATAGTATTAATAAAAATATATTTTCAATATTTGTAAAAATTGTGTACAAAAAATACGAAGATCATAAAATATAAACAACAATTTCTTTTAGAAAACATTAAACATGCATAAATATTATGAAGTACTAGAAAATATACATTTTTTTTAAACATTGACAAAACATGCCAAGCATTTAACTTTTTTATTATTTAAATATGACATTGTATAGCATATATTACTAGCTTGATCTACTATACATTGAGAATATATGAAAATATACTACTCTACTACTTTCAATCCCTATTTATTACCATAAAATATGTATTAACGCCTTTAAAATAATTGGCTTAAATAAAAATTAAATGTTTTCATTGAAATGGTTTATAATGAGGTAAAAAATGTCTTGATTCAAATAATTTACAAGTTTTAATTCATTTCATTTTAGATCATTCAAACTAGGGAAGCCGCTGTCATTCAATCTAGAAAACAGTTGTCAGCCATGTCTGCTGCAAAAGCAGCTGTTGATCACATGCACGATTGGTGGTTTGGAACTGCTGATGGAGCCTGGGTTTCAATGGGAGTTATATCCGATGGTTCATATGGTGTGCCAAAAGATTTGATTTACTCTATGCCAGTAACTATTTATAAAAAACAATGGACAATTGTACAGGTATAGCATTATTAAGGATTGTATTATTTTATTTCTAGAGTTTAACAGTTTATTTGAAAAAGGCTATTTAAATATTAATTTTGGATTTAATGAACTATACAAATTTTTTTAAGGGTCTGAAAATAACTAGTTTTGCAAAGAACAAATTGAATTTGGCGGCTAAAGAACTGCTCTATGAAAAAGAAGAGGCTTTGGAAGTTTCCAATCCTTGTTGTGTGTTACTCTTGACTGAATGTAAAACCTGAGTATTATATTTTGGACATAGTTTTAACATTGAATAATATGCTTTAACATTATTTGGATACTTTTTATTTTTTTTGAAATGTGTTCAATGATCAAATAAAATTTGGTCTCAAAATAATGTACTATTTCTTATTATATCTATTTAAAAGTTAAACCATTCAGGATAAAATAATAAAATATCATTATATGCCTATGTCGGCATGATTTGCTTGTCCTTTTATAAGTGTTTAAGATGACTACTTTTCAAATTTAGTAAATGGCCACTAAAGAAATTAAAAAATATCAGTTATCTAATTTTTCGTTTAAAAGTATTTAATGTTTCTAAAAATTAGTATAACATTTTAGATTTATAAAAAAATATATATATGTATATACATAAAAATTAATAAAAGAAAGGTGCGTTTATTACGATTTATTCAATTTTTTGTCTGGTGAAAGTTGTGGGCCAGTCTGGAACATAATTTTCATTTATATAATTTTCCCTTGTTTGTGAAAGTATGTTCAAATTATTAGTACTTCCAAATATTGATCCTATTGAAAAAGAACAAAAATATAAATAATATAATACAATTAGGTATTCAAAAAAAGTTTATTTATTTACCTCCAAGCCACGCAACATAATTTTCATAAGCAGGTGCTACATGAAATTTGAACTTTGTGATTTTTAAATTGTTATACTTGGGACACTTGAGTTTTTCTACAAGTTCATCTTTTAATCTTGACATGAAACCTTTGGCCATCACTGTCCCCCCTATAAGAACAATATTTTCTGCAAGCTTTAGTCGGATATCCACATTACTCTGTAATTAAAAATAATTACATTAAGTAAGACAAACTTTTAATAAGATAAAAATATGATCGACTAACATTAACTATGGTTTCAAGTATCATAGTGGTGATAGACATTTCATCAATATTTTCTTCAAATAATACATCATGGACTGTTTCCCTAACATCTCCAGGTATTGTTATTGATCTTTCTCCATTTATATGATATTCAACATCAGTAGTTTTTGGTTCAACACTTTGACCTGTGGCTAGAATTTTGCTACGTTTCAATGTAGTCACAAAACAGCATCTAGCTGAATACAAATGACATCATAAAAATAATAGATTAATACAAAATATTATGAAATTAACAAAAAAATATTTATTTGTTACCTTTAATATCTTCAGCAATATTGTCAATCGATTCATCAGGAGATACTTGACCTATATCAATACGAGTTTTGATTTGATTTTCTACAGCTTGCCCCGCCAATGACATTGTTTGCCATAAACGAAGAATGGGTACTCCTTCACATACTGGTATAAGAATAACTTCATTGTATCCTACATCAAGTACTAGGCCGGTAGAAATTCCAAGTGTAAATAAAGAAGCACAATGTGATGGGACAAAACATAGAGATGTAACCTGTATTAAAATATCATATTTTATCATGTTATTTTGCTATAAATGATATAGTACCTTACTTCATAAGTAATGAACAACACTTTAGCAAGTATTTCTTTAAATATTGTTGGTGATAATAATGATTCAACAATTATTACTTTTTTATCTTTAGGTGCCACTAGTGCATATCTAGAAAATAAAAACAATTTTATCTTGCTTCTGGTTTATAATAGGGATATATCGTTAACAAATTTAAATATACTTTACTTGTAAAATAGCATATGAATGAAATTCGTTAGAGCTAATGTAAGTGTCTGTACATCTTTACATTTATATATGTCAGGAATAGGCGAACCATCGATTTCACAAAGAGTAGGTATAATACATCTAGGTGAATGTTCAGTAGCAAATCCAAATCTGAAAAATCGTAGAATTTATGTAATTATAGGTACTTAACTAGGTAATGTGGAGTATGAATACAACAGGAGTGGGATACAAGAATATGAGTTAAATTATTATGCAAGTAATGCCGTTTATTTAAATAACAAATCCATAGTGTCAGTGCATCTTAAATACAGAAATTCTCATTGAATTCGGTTTCAATTCACACTCACTTTGTGTATTTGGTTCCAATATCGATGACGATACATTGTTTTTCCGGCAAAAAGTCCGATTCAATTTTCATCGTTTTAACGAACTCGACAATTGTATTCTAATTGCGATACGTGGTTGTATCGCATAGAAAGACTGAATAAGTATTGTATATTTTGTCTTCTCTAAGTATTGTTAAGCTGTGTGGACTTTATGAGTTCTAACATCTAACTACAAACTTCAAAGTCAAAACTTGGAAGTTCCATGCCTGCGAATAATAATATTGTATTCGTGATAGTAATATTAATAATATTATCGTTCTGTTATCACGTTGATGTTGATTTCATTTTTGCTTATTAATATTTTTTTTTAGTCATGATAGCGCAGCGGCGCGGCGCAGCAACGAGACAGTGTCGTCTGCACGCGGGACTTCCACGAAAATTGCATCGTCCAACTGGCAGCAGTGGACCGTTTGCCGGTACGCAGGCAAACACGGCGCGTCGGCGCGCGACGTCCATCGTACCACAGAATAATAATAATAATAATAATATGATGATGATGATATACATTACACAATATATATGTGTTAGCCGTTCAGTGGGTATACATTCTAGGATTCTTCAGTATCAATTAAGTACGGTAAAAAACGCCGGCCACGTCATTTCGCCATAGCCGAGACCGTGTTATCTCGTCGTGTATTGCATTTTCAGTACATATTATATTTCCTCTATTATTATTATTATTATTATTATTATTACTCGTCGACAGTTTTAAAGAGGTTTGCTTCCGATACAGTACGGGCGCACGTTATTATTACTATCTCCGTTTGATCGGAAAGTTAATATCTCATTCGTTTCCCACCCCTTTCCGCAATCGACCGTTTTTACACGTCCGAAATTCGGGTTTTCTGAGAAGAAGCCGACCGTGCATACTGCAGAGACGGCGTCTGACATCACCCGGCCCGGTCCCACCTGCGACGAGGGGTAGTGAACACTACACGTACACACCTGTAACGATTCGTCACCGTTCTAGTTTTTTGAGACGGTGACCACCGCCGTCAGCAAGTTACCAAGATGAACATATTCAGACTTTGTGGTGATCTGTCACATCTGCTGGCCATCCTGCTGTTGCTCGTCAAGATATGGAAGACCCGATCTTGCGCCGGTAATTCCACTCGATGTTATTTTCATCGATACTTAGGCACTGGTCACCCATCCGCTGTTAAATTCGTGAACACAAACATGTGGAAAAATAAAGTAAATTCGAGATCTCTGCACCCTAATACCAATGACATGGTGCAAAGATATCTGTGTGCCTACATATTATATTATTTTCTCACCGGTTTGTGTTGACTTATTGTTAACAGTAGAATAATATGCATGCAACGCCTCCCCGACTAGTGGCATGCGTGAGTCCGGGTGTGCAGCATCTGGGTCCAGAGTCTTCGCCTGAGTTTGCAGCCACCAATGACTGACATAAATAGTACCTGTACTGTCTATAAGATCCGAGGGATGATACAAATGAGTTTTGTGTATTGTCTTCGATAGTCTTATTACAAACAAAATATATGTATAATATGGAAACATCAAATTATTATTTGCATCAATTATTTCACCAAGTGTCCATATTAAGTGCCTTTTGATACCTACCTACTTGTTGAAATTATTTGCCTACAACCTATATCTATTGTTTTTATTTCTATTTCTATTTCATTTCACAAACATTATGCTTAAAATCTATGACTATGAAGGATACATATTTTTATCAAACCACCTTATGCTGTAATTTGATTAGAAACATTTTATGTGCATTATTAAGTACCTATTTATGTGTGATATTTTAAATGGTTTGAACAAGTATTAAATCTCTTCTTCAATTATCTTCTATTTAATTTCGAGACATCAGAACCATTAAATGTGATGACCAGTGTTTAAATACCTACCTATCTATTTAGTTTTATTTTTAAAAATAGCATTAATCTATGTATTTTTAGTACATAAATAAAGTACAATAAATATGACCCAAATTATTAATGAATTTTTATTTTATTACAGGCATTTCGGGAAAATCTCAAATACTCTTTGCAATTGTTTATACGACAAGATACCTGGATTTATTCACTAGTTTTGTATCTGTATATAACAGTTTTATGAAAATAGTGTTCCTATCAGCATCATATGGAACATTATATTTAATGTTCTTCAAATTTAAGCCAACATACGACCATAACCACGATAGCTTCAGGTATATTATATGATTAATTCAAAAACGTACATTAATTTTGTATGTAATATATTTAAAATACTTACATTTTTTTTTCAGAATTTTGTACTTAATTGTACCATCGTTGGTGCTTTCATTTGTCATTGTTCATGTTTACACTGTGATGGAGGTTAGTTTTTAAGTATAAATATAATCTATGCATACAAATTACAAATATTATTTTTAATTTTAGATTTTGTGGACGTACAGTATCTATTTGGAAGCAGTAGCAATTATGCCACAATTATTTATGGTATCTAGAACTGGTGAAGCTGAGACTATTACTTCTCACTATTTGTTTGCACTGGGTTCTTACAGAGCACTGTATATATTGAATTGGATTTACCGTTATTACACAGAAGATTTTCTTGATATGATTGTAATTATTGCTGGAATTGTGCAAACCATCTTATATTGTGACTTCTTTTATCTCTATATAACCAAAGGTAAATATAACTAATATGTATTCATATGTATTATTTTTATAAATCTAAGGATGTTCTATTTATTTTAAATTATTGTTAATTTTTTTTTCAGTTTTAAAAGGTAAACGACTGTCCTTACCTGTCTAAACACGGAAGGAAAACCTCAGACCAAAGTGTCAGTATAAAACAGACTATTTACACATAATTGTCATGTCATATGATTTTTTTTGTACATAAATAAATAGCTTACATTTGTTGTAAGATGTTACAGTAGGTCATTGGATACCTTATAAATACGAGAAATATTTTATTTTAGTTCTAAACTTAAATTATTTGGGAAATTATACCAACATATTATCAATTATGATAACAATTTTTCTGTTTTCTTTTTTATAGCACAATATTTTCAATATAAAAGTATATGTATATATTGTAAATATATATATATATGCTTATATTTATAAAAGTTGATTTATATATTAGTGATCCTTATTAAAAAAAAAAGGAAATATCCGCATTTTATTATTTATTTAAATTATTAATGTTTTTGTGTAAATCAAATTTGGCATGTTTACAATTTTTTTATTGTATAAACATAATATGTTTGTTTTATTTATTAAACAAATTCCTTTTTCATTTATAATTATTATTATGTTATTAAAATCATAAAGTTTTATTAAATATTTATATTTCCTCAAACTGTTAATATTTGTTAATGTAAGTTACTGAATTTATTAAAATGAATTTTGAAATATTTGTAAATATGTTATTTTTCCAGACTTCAAAATATGTTTTATATAAATACAGTAGAAATTTGACAGTTAAAAATATAAATATTGAAATATTTAATATTCTGTACACTACTAATGATAACTATTCTTAGTTCTGCAGTGACAGAACTCAACATTTCAAAAAAATTAACTTTTGAATTGAATTTTTACTGTACATAACCTTATTTACAATTAAAATTGTTATAATTTATTTGTATTACTTAACATTTTAGTATCAAAATTAAAAACATGTTAACTTATAAGAGAAAATAGTAAATTGGTTAACACACATTACTGGTAATATGTTTGTTTTTTTATGACTCCTATCATAGAATGATAATAATGAAATATTATAAAATGTTTATTGTGTTTAAAGAAAAAACAAAATATTCAAACATATCCATATTAATTTATTTACCATTTTACAAAAAATTATTAATAAGTAGTTACTTATGAATTAATTTTTATATATCTGATGAAGTATGATAATTAATAAACTATACTATGGTAAAAGAGGGATTAAACTGGACTAATCACTATTGTGATTTGTAGCTGTTAGTTAGGAACTCTGGCAGTTTAAGTTGAAGGAAACATTTTGAACAATTAAACATTTGGAGTTTACAATATTCAATTAGTATTAGTCTCCTTATTTAATTTCAAAATATATTTAATCCACATTTTGTTCAAAACACAGTATTTTTCTATATTTGTCCTTGATTTTTTTCAAAGGGATTGCATATATCTAACCACCTTTAATTTCAGAAAATTCTTTATAAATATATTAAATATGCGTTGGAATAACTCTGTTAGTTCATTAACTCTACACACATACTGTGAAGTATATTCAGAAACACTGAAATGCGGCACAATTATATAAAAAACCGGTTTTATACAATATTTTCCAGTTTCTGTTAAGGTCAATGACCTGCATAAAAACAACGGTACAAACACGTACGTAAATATAAGGTAGTATTTAGTAATACAACCATAGAGGATTATTGGATTTAGTTTTACTGTAATAATATGGTTACCAAAGGTAGATTGTAACATTTGAAAATGAAACAATGTGTATAGGGGGAGAGGTGATTTTAAAACATGATTTATGTACATCAAAATATTTTATACACTATGCGTCTATGCGTCAACAATCCTAATTATCAATATGATTATATTATACGCGCCACTTCTGGCCGGTCAACATAACAATCAAAGTTTTACTTAGAGGGGAGATTAGAAACACATATTTATATAGTTCAAGAGGGTGGGGGTGATTTATAATTTTTTAGAATTTTTATATGTAGGTATCAGTTTTTCATGCATCGTTATCATACACGCCCCCCATTGTTCTTACAGAAATTTCAAACTATCGAAAATTCATAGGCGCAATTTTCAGATTTTGGCAATTTCCTTATTATTTTCTTCTATACGTAGGTAATACAATAAATATTATTTGTAGCTCGTAGGGTTTTGAACTGTTTGCTATTACGTAGAATCTATAGGCATTGGCTCAAATAGGGGGGGCTTGGACCCTCTATTAGACCCCCCCCCCATTTTCCTACCGCAGCACACACAGAAGTACCTGCCTTTAGAAAGGATTACGTTTAATTTAGCTTGCTTAAGGAGGGGGTTGAATATGGATATCTAGGAGTGACATATAAGGTTAGTACAGAGAAGACTTGACTGTTTAGTTAGCGATTGGATTTGAAGTCCAAGAGGCCATCGACGAGATTGTTTAGTTGGGTCCCGGAAAAAAAGGTTGTAGGTAAGTGGAGTCCCGAAAAAAGGTAGTAGTTCATTACATTTTTTAAATACATGTAATCACCTTTATTAGAAGTCGATGAGTTTTATATTTATGGCATAAATAAAAATAAAAATATGTTTTATAACATTATGTTTTAAATAAAATACACACGGTATGAAATAAATAATACATTTAGTTTCTATTATTATAATTCAATTAAAATATATGAGTTTTTTAAAATATTTTTTTTTTTTATTGAACTTAATACCGACGACTATGGCCATTAGCTGTTGTGGTGGTTATGAACTGTGGTAGGGGTAAAATTGGGTATGGTAGGTTGTCTTTACGGTTGTTACGGTAGGTAGCAAACACGTGTATGTGTGGCACTGTGGCAAGAGTTGTAACTACTATGAAACCGGGTGGTCACCCATCCGGGAGCTAGTAGCTATGGCCGTTACTTATTCCCAGGCGCATTCCGCGACTGGTAACAGCCAACGCGCCACGCCAAGTCACTTTTTATAAAATTATTCTCTTGGTAAAGACTTAAATGATGAGGATTTAACAAACTCAAATCGGGTTATCGTATTAATGTATACTATATAGTGTATTTTGCCGGGACGCAACTTATCTTCTTTATTTATTTACCTGTGACTCAACTTACCGCTTTCAAAATTTTGTGGGCACCGGTGCGGACAGGACATTTGCGGTCGGCACTTTTTCGTGCCATTTGCGGTCAATTTATTTCTATTTACCTGACTTTAAAATTTGGATGCTATATATAATATAAATATATATAAATATATTGCAGTAAACTTAATTTGTGCCAATATGTATATATTTATTATTTAATTGCACTTTAACTTCCCTTCACACTTTTCAAGGTTTAGGGCTGACAGTATTTTTTACTGGCGTGTTTAAAAGCTTATTATAAATAACTCATATAATAATATATTTGTTATTTGTGTCAAACGCATTACATAATAGGGTACTCATTTGTTTTAAAACCTTATAACAATTATTACAAAAAATGCACATAATAATACATTTGTCGATCACATTACATATAAACATAAAATATTGATACTAACATACATTACTAATAAACATACATGTACATAAACATAACCTTATTCTAGTTTTTGAATAGCAGCTATTTTTTTTAAGCATTTCACTAAATCGTTAAGAGTATCTATGCAATACTCTACTAATGTTTTTTTTAATTCTTTTGTCCAATTGTATTTACATCTTTTTTCCCCTTTATCTTTCATATTTAAGTAGCTTCTTGTATATAAAAGTTCCGAATGATCAGCTTCTTTTTAAGACAGTTATACAAATTCTTAAACGTTGGTCGTGGTGTATTTAATATTTTATTAAGTTTACTATTCCAATTTCCAACCCTATAGGACCTTTAGTTGTCTCTACTTCAAATGAATTATTAATTTTAATTTGAACACTAAAACACTGTAATACTGACAGATCGAACTGTACCAATGCGTATACAATGCTAAAAACTGAGTAAATGTTACCGACGATGTTTTCGACTAATAATAAAATGTACTTATGTACAGATATAATAAATATATCACTATATCAGACGTTATTGCCTTATCGATTATGACATCGAATATGCATAATCAACCAAAAGGCTGCATCACAAATAGGCTTATCCCGTATATAAATAATAATTATAAACTTTTTAAACAAATTTTCATAATATAATATGTATTTAGAATATAATATTATTACATATAGCACCTTAAATAGTATAGTCAGGTAAATAGAAATAAATTGACCGCAAATGGCACGAAAAAAAAGCCGACCGCAAATGTCCCGGAACCTTTCAAAATGTACACAAATTATCGTGGGCCCAATTTACCTAGGCCTGCGGTCGTCACGTCGCACCGCCATAAATCCGTCCGGGTAGGAATGTAATATACAAAAACACACGTATGACTAACCCCGTTATTACGACACTGCCCACTCAATGATAACATGGATACATTTTAATTTCATAATCCCAAGAAAAATATTTTTCCGAGCTATGTCAATGTCGTTTTAAAATAATAATCAAATATCGAAAGAGTACAGGTAGTTAAAAATTGATTTTACTACTGAATAAGTGTCATCGTGGGCTAGAATAGGGAAATTTTATTAAGGGGTACATTGTTTACTTATACAAAATTAGCGTTCCTGTCTCTTTCTATACTTATAGGTGTAACGAAAAAAATAGCAGAGGTGCTCTAAGATTCTTAATAATTAGTTGAGGTATTTGAAGTTTGATAAGTGGAGTGGCACAACAGTCACACTGGGGGATCCCTCGAAATGTTTTGCAGATATACTTACTAGTATTCTATAACCAGCAAATATGAGCAATACCTACTAGATCGATATTCGACTATAAAAAAATAGAAATTCTCAGAAAAATATTCAGCAGTATGAAATTAAAATTGGATATATGTTATTCAAAATAGTAAAATAGTAAAAAAAATCACAATAAAAATCGTCAAATGGTAAATGCCAAACGTGTTCCGCCGCACTGGGTATTTTTTTATGATATTAAATTTAAGAGGTAAGACAAAACTGAGGTCTGAGACTACAGTGGTGACATACGGGTTATATTGAACTGTTTTCGTGCACTGCACTAGCGTCAAACGATAACATTTCAAATTTTAAACCAAACAAACATTTTAATTGTAATTGTAAATTATAATTCTTTGGATACAGTTGTATTATATTATATATATAGATCTATATGCATCTGAAATATAAAAGATATAATTATATTTTATTTTTCTTCAGTTCCGTTTCAAGAGTTGCATTAGCGGTGGTTATTTCTTTAAGTTTTTCATTCAAATTATCTATTTGAGACTTTAATTTTAATTCATTGCGTTCCGAATTAGTTTCTATAGTTTCGGCTTCTTTGTTTAATTCATCGATCTCTTTATTATACGAATTCTAAAATCCAAATATATTAAATTCAAAAATAAATACAAACATATACAATTGTATTAGGATATTTTAAACCTCAAAGGTATGTACGTGAAAAAAAAACTGTAAATTTCAATTATAAATTAATATCGTAAAAAATAGGTGAATACGATCAAAAAAACGTACCATAGAGCTTATAACTTCTATCTCTTCATTGGCTAACTGTTTCAATGTTCCATGGTTATTTTGACGAATTAACTCTAAAATAAAAAATGTTAATATATTCATTATTTTTACAAAAATCTAAGTAGATCCCTATTAGATGAATCTCTACACTTATTGCGATGATTGATGACGTATGCGGTTATACAGATGTATTGCAGCAATGAGTGTGGGCCGATAATAATAAATTACTACCTACATCTATTATTACAGTGTTAATTAATAAAATATTTTTCAATATAATTACGTCTAAATACGTCTATAATCAATGTCAGTCGATTACACATTTTAAATACCCAATTCAATGGATCGACAAAATAATATTCATTTTATAAAATATTGTATCGAAGTTTTTAAACCTAAACTATTATATGTAACTTAGCAGACTACTTATTTACCATTGATAGCATTTTCTATAGATACATTTATGTTCGAAATCTGTTGTTTAAACGTCTGGTATGTTTTTATGTTATTTTTAAAAGACGCAATTACATTTCTTGATCCAATGATATCATTGGATTTTTTTTTAACTATTGTTTGAACAATCGATTTTTTTCTTTTAATTTCATCCATGATTATTTCTTTACGTTTCGTTAGTAATTCGTCATATCTATTCTGATTTGTTTTTAGCTTATCATATAATAACGTCACCTGAAATTTTATAAATTGTGTTAAGGTTTGAGTAAATACATTTTTTTTTTATCAATGTAATAACTAATAAGTAATAACACATTAGAGAATTGTAATGGAAGTATGGAACTCATCGGTTCTACCAATATAGCATCGAATCTGCCTGTATAGATATACATAATATACATTGCAACTTAGTTTTAGGTCTCTAAACATATTATCCCTGTTGAGTCCGTTCGTCTTTTGGTAAGTACCAGTACCTAAATGACTACACAGTTATGTACGTTTGTATTAAAATATTTTATTAAGTTTGCTTATATTTCTTTTGCATAAGCATTTATAATATAGATTCATACCATCCAAAATATTAATGTTATCAAATTTTGTTCGAATTGTATTTGGAATAATTAAAATGTATTGCGTTTATTAAAATATATTTAGAAACCAAAAATTTAGCACGCTCGCAGAGTAAGGTTTCTAAACTTATTTGTTTTTTTTTTGTATTCATGATTCTTTTTAAATGGAAATTCAGCAAAAAAAAAAACTTGAATAATTCAATTAAATATATGATAGGTCGCCATTATTTAGCCTTGTAATGCGTAGACATTAATGGTATACAATTCATTCTCATAATGTTTATATGACTATTGACTCGTGTGATGGGCTGTGAATTTCTGTTACACCTATGCTATGTTCCTGGAAGCGGCTATATAATAATTTTAAGTAATTTCCTTAAGATAAACGTTGAAATGTATACCAATTAACTTGTGCCTTTATCTTATAATATAAGCGCCAAAAGTCTTAATTTAGCACATATTTATCTCGGTACGACAAAAACTGCTTCCACACATTGTTTGTTGGTAGGTATACTTGGTCCTCAAACGGCTACAGTATTCGTCGGTAAGTGTCGAATAGAGAGGACGGAGGATAGGGTGCGAAATGGGATGGTCCCCAATGGCCTAATAACCAGAAGAAATATTGTATATGATTTATGAAAATTGGAATTTAAATTGTAAACTTGCTAGTAGCTGATAAGTAATAACCATCATTACTTATAAGAGGTATGTTTACATACGATTCTATTTTTAGAAATAGATTTCCATTCACTGTTGTATTCACTTGCATATTTACACTATTTGAAGGAGTTTTTCAACATTATACAAGTTGATTAAAAACGTTTTTAAGAAATCAACAAGGAAATGTTATATTATATTGTCAGGACTTGCTTTGATTACGATTCATCATAATATAACATACAAAAAAGATGAAATATTGTCAATATTGTTTCCAAAAAGTGCATAAAAAATTAATTTACATAATATTTATAAAATATAATACAATAATAAATAGTTATAGAAATGAAATTGAGTAATCACTATTTCTTTTTTTTTGCTTATCTCACAAGTATAAAACCACCCGGCTCTCCCTAAAACAGTTTTTAGTTTTTTTTTTAAATTTTCATATATTCAACCGGCTTACAAAGTAAAAACAGTACACAATAAGGATAACAAAGAGAAAAAAATGTACAAAACATGAATCAAATGAAAAGGAAACCATTATTTTAGTTATAACTATTTGTTAGGTAGTGCTATATGCTATTGACTAGAAGATAAATTGGCCCATACTGAAAATAATTCCTAAATACGCCACTGTGGTATAATACCTATATTAATATTATAATTGATAATATTATTATGGGTACGCCAACCGACTAAACCAGGGCTATAACTCTGCAGGTATATAACTATATTAAATTTAGGTGAAAAAAATAATAAAAAGTATATAATAACTAATATAATGTATATAATATATTGTTATCGCGTAACAAATTAATAAGAACATTAATTACAACGATTTGCAATATTACTGTACAAAAGAGCTGGTTATGTACCTAATCTAGGTACTAGGTTATACCTTATACGATTAAAATAATTTATTGTAATAAACAATCATAAGTCGAACTTGGTTTTAATACAGTTTACCTTACTCGATTGCTCGTCATCGGGTAACTGTACTAGGTACGAATCGCTAATCATTTGAGTTGTGTACTTTTGATAAGTTGTCTGGATTAACAAATCCAATGAATGCAGTTTGTCGTATAGCTTTTTGATATTTTTAGTTGTTACGGACAGTTGAATGTTAGACTTGTGAATTGTGTCTTCTAAATTCCTGTATTGATATAATATTTTGTTAACAAATATTATAATACAAAATGCTTTTATGTTTGATTAAATTGTAGTTTAAATACATATATTAAAAAAAAAAACAGGCAAGTGGGTAACGCTCTGCTGTATATTATTGGTTGTTTAGATAAGTTACTGTAATAGTGTAATGGAAGTGTTAAATTTAAATTCAATGATATAATATCATTGTACATTTATACACCGAAAATGATTCTGAGCGAAGACTAACTGTTAGCCAATAATATTACAAAATATATTTATTATATTTTATAATATTATTAGATTTAAAGTAATTTATTTTACTATAAAGCATTAACACTACAGTAGGTAAAATTAATTTTTGCTGAAAAAAAATACATTTGAAAATGTCATATCGACATCATTATCATAAAATGATATATTTTAAAAGTTTCAGGTACCCAAGAATAATATTTTTAAAGTGTAACTAAAATCGTTATTCTTGGTTTTAATACCTAGTTTCGTCCAAATTTGAACTTGGATATAAAAAACTGTGTTTATATAATGTGAATCACATTGTATAGTATTAGAACATACCTATTTTTCCATCGTCTGATTATGTCGACTTATCTCATAGGTATTCAAGTAGGTACCTACGGGTCCAACAGCATACCTTACATAACAATCACTTGTTAATATTATAGTAAATATAAAAGACCTCATAAACCTCATCAAAAATGATGTTATCCCTAATGACTACTTTTCCTTCTTCGATCATTTACCCTCAGCTAATGGAATTAGAGACCAAGCTTTATGGAATTTGTACGACAAACAAGAAACTTCGGACTAACATTAAAGTTAACTAAGCATTTTTAATTCCTTTCTCAAACTCATTTAAATTTTTTAATTCTTTCACTGAAATGTTAAAATTAATTTTTACATAATACATATTTGTGTTCTGTTATTTTATATTGCAATTTCGAAGAACAATAAAAAAACGTTTTGATATTTTTATTTTTTAATTTTCAGTTTTATGTTGAAGGTGTATCTTTTGTGCATAGAAGTCCTATGTCTGACTTTTGATTTTTTTTAATTGATTTTGATAGTAAATAGTAAAAGTAACTTAAACTTCCTATTTTAATTCTAATACTTCATAATTAATATTTTATTTTGGATAGTAATTATAAAAAAAAGAAGATTTGTTCTAGTTTCTAGTTTTAAAAACTATACAATCAACAAAACTTCTTTAGTGATTTCCCAAAAATGAAGAAAATGGACATGGAACTTGTGTGCTTTTAGGTATACATTTTATACTCACTGAATATTTTTTTTGTATTCAACTCCTATATAATCATTCTTTTGATAATTGTTCATCATCAGCTTATTCCTCTTCTTCGATTCAAATAATTCGTCATTTAATGTTTTTAGAACTCGTTTGTTTGTATCCCGTTTTGTTCGAACATCATTAATAAAGAAAATTGTACTTTTTAAATCTACAAATTGTTTTTATATTTCAATATTTAAACCTTGAATAACAATTAATAAATTAAAACAGAAAATAGGCAATTACAACCATTTAATAAATATTAACTGACAATTAGTTATTATAACAATTACATTTAGCTAATTTCGTGCCTATCTAAATAGCATTAACGATTAATAAAGCTTTGTAAATACGACGAGCAACACGAATTTTTATCATTGAATTACAATTCAATAATGGTACAATTTACTGTTTTTACCTTGAAATTTAAATAATTTGTTGTATTTACCTTATAGTTTAACACTTAAACAAGTTTATATATAATAATTTATGGTTTTTACCTTTAACAATAATTTCAAATTAACATTATAAAGAAGATAATAATTCATAATTTTAACATACATAGTTGTTAATAATATAATGCTTGTACTTTATAACAGTTGTGTATCTCTGTTCAGAGTTAACTTATTTTTAACATTTATTATATACGGCTATACATTATAGGTACATACTACATACAGACCATCAGTATGACAGTATATGATATGTTCAGGGGTAGACTGGATGTTTTTGATCCAGGGTGCAAAATTAATTAAAGGCACATACATATATATTTGAGCCCATGTAAATTTCAACACAATTATTTAGTCAAGAAATCATAAATCATAATAAATAATCGTAATTATTATAAAATATGTACCTAGCCAACTAGGTATGTTATGTTATTATCTTTTAAACTGTGAACTAAAATAATGTGATACAATTTGTAGATATTCTAACTTTTAAGTCTAATATTATCCACTATTATAATTATTTATAGCGTTCTCCAACACTATTTTTTCCCATTTTGAATTTTTGAACTTATTTGGTTGACATATATTATTAAGTTCTACATAAGGAAGACCTTACAATGGCCGAGTTTCTATGTACTCATTACAGGTAAAAAAATAAAATTGGCGGAGTTTACATTAGATCTTTTCATTACCTTTTTATCTAACCAGTATTCTGGAGGAGTTTACATGGGGACATATTTTTAAGTTCACTAAAATTAGAAAAGAGTTATACATTACGATAGGTAAAAATTAAATTTAAGAAAGGACTCGACAGGAGTAATCGGGCCGAATCATGAATACGAATGAGGGCCCGGGGTTCTACTTGGTTTATAGCACCCTGGGCCAGTCTGCCCCTGGATATGTACATGGTATATAGCATTATAATTGATACAATATGATGTTTCAGCCTTATATTTTAAAGTTAAGATTTTAACACATTATTGAATACAGGTAACAATTATAGGTAACGTAATTATACATATAAAATTCTTAATATAATAAAGGGAGCGTAGTCGGACGGGGGTTATCCCCCTCCAACAAATATTTGTGTACCCCTTTAATATTTTTCTTGTTTCCATTATCAAAATTATTATCTAGACTCTTAAACATTTAAAAATGGTGTTTTGGATTCCAATAAAAAGGATAATGATTATTATAGTAGTATAACTTTGGAAGACGAAAAAATGTGTATTGAAACCTGTTAATTCACAAGTGTAAATTATGACAGGTAGCCCATAACAAAACACATAGAAGTTCATAACCAAGTAAAAGAAGCTTTAGGCTATGTATCGAATACAAACGTGGGTATAGCCAATGATAGGTTCGTCCATGGTAAAACAGTTTTGAGGTTATTCATTTATATATTATTTATAATGACAAATAAATATCAAATACAATTGACGAATAATTGAAGTAAATCATTAATAATTGTTACCTATAGGAATAGTTTGTAAATTTTTGGAGAACTTGATATGCCCTTTATTATACTAAAAGTATACTCTTTCTATACCAGTATACTCTTTCATAGTTCCATGTTATTCCACTTCCACCTATGACTCCTACTATATCATGTCTAAAATATAACTGAATATAATTATACATTTAAATGAAATATTAAACTGAAAATCTTCAATATATTATGAATTTTTATACGTAAAATGTATTAATTAATTAAAAATTAAAACATAATTTATTTTGGTAACATTAGTTAAATATAATAAAAGAGAAAACCAGTTTAAAATTGGTAAAAGTGTTCACAGTAAAATATTTTTGAACAAATAATCGTTTGAGCACAAAATAATTTTTTAAAAAAAAGATTGAATTGAAATTTTAAATACAGCTTTTGGTTTGGTAAATAATATTATGTAATAATATGCATATACAAATGAGCAATTATTATTGGCGTTTTTGATTCTATAAATTTAAATTGAACACTGTTTTAGGCTACCGTTGTATCCGTGGCTATAATTTGTGACCCAGTCATTATTATTATTATTATACACGATACCTCCCGCCTGGAAACACTAGGTATATAACTGAGCTATCATTTTTACTTAATTTACAGATTTATATAGAATTAATAAGTATTTTCATGACAACATGGTAGGTATTTTTCGAGAGTTGATTAATATTAATATCATTAAAATAATTCATTGAATACATTTTTGGAGAAATCCTCAGGTCAAATGTACACGAAAAATACAAGCTAAGTTTACAGATGTCGTACTTTATATTATATTATATTAATTTAAAATAAATTAAAGTTTGTAATGTCTATTGACTTATAGGCTCTGCAATATACAGGAAGGCCCCTTTTACTTGACTAAATATGTTATTATTTGAATTTTGAAGGTACACGAGTTGAGTACTGAATATTGAATTAGTTAAATATAGGTATTAGATCGTACTAGTATACTATATACGCTATTATGAATTCAGACCGCAATAATAGGCAGGTGTTATTATTACTATAATATATAAGTGTATAATATATTTTTGGAAATCATACTTGCAATAATCTCTTGTTCCATAAAATCTATCTTGTTCATTAACGCATTTATAGAGGTCAATGTATTGCAGTTCTATAAAGCAGCATTTACACAAATTCGGTTAATATACATAAAAAATATCTTACCTAACTCTTGTATGAAAAATTAATAAGCATACAAATGTCGCAAGATTACTATAAACAATTAGTAGTGTTTAATACCTACATTTTTTTGAATAGTAATATAAAACACCTATAATAGTACCTTTAATACTTACAATACAAAGTACGTAACTACTACGTATAACACGACACATATATTTTTAAATATTTATAATATTTTATATATTAATAGAAACAACGTTGGACAAGTATATTATATTCAAATATATCAAAAAATTATTAGATAGTTCAACAATCATCAAATATTCAATTGGAGTTGAAAATTATTTCATTGGTTCTAGTGGAAGTCAAATATCCATCTTCTTAATTTTATTGTATAGGTACTTAAAGGGCACATTAATAATTGTAAATTGAGATAAAAAAATTATTACCTGTCGATAATCGAGAAGAAATGTTTCATTCGCAAGATTATGTGTTATCAGAAAATCAGGCCAATTAACGTCATATAATAAACTTCTAGAATACAAAATCTTAAGTAGTCAAATCAATATTCTGATGTAAATTAAAAATTATTAAAAACATGAGTGTTAATAAATTGAGCATAATAAAGTTAGTTGATATACAAAACATTTTAATTTTTAGTTACATGTTTAAAATTATGTTAAGAAAATCACTCACTTGCTATGTGTAAATGAGTTTAATGGTGTCAATACGTTCGTTTGTTTAAGAGAATCGATCATTTTCCTTAGTTCCTTATACATATTTAAAAAACTTAATTCTGGATTGATCATATCCTCACTTAGATTTTGTTTCGAATATTCTCTAGGAAAAAATTTGAATTACGTTTGAAGTTATTTGTAATATTATTTACACATAATTTACTTTTCACTATTTTCAAATTCAAAATCCAAAAGAATTTCTTTTGTAACTTCTTTAATACTTGTATCTAGTTCGTTAACGATCAACTTAAAGTCAGTAACTCGGTTTTTTAATTGACTTTCGATAGAATTAATTTGTAGCAATATTTCCACAATCTGGTGTTTAAGTATTAAATTTAAATGTTTAAGTACAAATAATTAGTAGGTAACGAACAAGAATTTAGTTGAATAAAAAATATTATGTATTACTTATTAGCACCCGATTTATTCATTTATTATTGTACTTCACTACTTTCATTTTTATATACTACCTATAAATATGATGATTATTATTGTTAACTTGTTGTTAGCACCATTTTATTTGTACCACGATGGGTATTATTAAATGTCGGTTAAGTTGGTTAGGTTATAGAAGTATATTCTTTATAAATATGAAATAAATATACAAGATCCAACTTAGTGTACCTAATTGGTGTATAAAATGTAGTTTTATGAATATAAATATACGAAGTTTAATAAGCAAATTCAGGCATTTGGTTCAGTGATTTAACTGATGAAGTCATAATATGAGCTGTTAAATTAATTGTATAAAAATATTTATTTAATAAAATTGAATAATAGAAACCATTATACCAATTTTCGGATAATTACTTTACAAAGAATTATTCAATAAATACTTATTCGGTTTAGAATTTATAATTTCAATCATATTATCATATCATCAATAATTTTATAGTAAATAATATCTAACTATATACTGTATCTGCATGTCTTTTAAGAATAACATCAGGTGGCGACCGTTTTTCGTCCGGTTTGGTCAGGCTCAGGCACAACCGTCAATTAATCGGTTTTCGTCTAAATTCATCGGCATTTTCGTCTCGGCCAAAAAATTGGTTTACCGTATCAATTTTAATAAAACACAAGCAAAATAAGCGGTTGTTGGAATAATAAATAGAACGTAAGTTAGCCACAGAGGCGCATTGTCGCCGAAATACGATGAAGAGTGTTACTCTCATATGGGACAGAGACACAGAATATACAGTGGAATCTGATAGAATTAATATAAATAAAAAAATAATAAATTAATTGAAACTTTTGATATACTTTTGCATTTTTTATGGTATTTTGCGAATGTAACTGATTTTGTACGTTTGATGATGTATCTAACGCATTTTGAACTTCTTGAAACATAAGTCGAGCTTGATCAATTTCTCCTTTGATTTTTCTCTGCGACAGTCTATAGTGAATTTAAGATTAAAAATCTGACGGAATGTATTATATATTAATACAATAATACCTCTGAAATAAATGTGTTGTGTTTAGTACATTTAATAATTTTTGTTTTGATTCAAACATTGCTTTGTGTTTTTTAAATTTTAGTTCCTTTGATTTTACTAGTTGAGTGTTTGATGACTCTTTATAATATATGTAACTATCTAAAAATTAATTTCCAACACATATTAAGACTATAGAATATAATATTTTAAGTACTAACATTTATTTAATATTAGTAGTTTTACTACCTGATATTTCTTTATCAGCTCCTAAATATTTGTATACTATATCTGCTTTAATTATTCGTTCTTTAACATCCAAAATCGATGCATGAAATTTTTCTAATAATCTAAGTTCACTCAACATATTAATATGCATACTTTTTTTGTAATCGAACTCGAAAGGTTGTTCTAGTTAAAACATTAAAAATACAGAAAATATGATTTGTAAATAATAATTGAAGGATATACTACTTGTTAGTATTGATGTAATATAATCAAAAATTAAATTAACAGGGACCATCTTTATAAACTACTTCTAATTATTTAAGTATCGTAATTAATACATAAATATGTATATTGTATATAGGTTATAAACATTAAAGGCATAGTGCCATGGTAACGCTTACAGTTAATGTTTGTTGAGTGTTTTCAACCGATAGGTTGGTTTATACGAGTTAAGTTGTAAAAGGCACAGATTTATGTATCGGCAAGACAGTGTTAACAACGAAATACAGGCACTTTATCTCACTCTAGTCACTACACCAAATATTATATAACATCATCTATATACATATAGGAGACCGCCCCTATTCACTCATTAACGCCGAGACCAGGCCGTTAGGTCTAGACTTCTAGAGACTTGAAATTTTGTACAGAGGTTTCTTAAGCAATATAGGGGTGCACTAAGAAGGGATTTTTCAAAATTCGACCACTAAGGGGATAAAAGGGTTTTTTTATATAGTTACATAATACACGGGCAACGCCATGACAAGACAGCTATTATTATATAAAATGTCTTTATTATCTACAATTTATGACTAGAAATATTAATTTCATTTAATATTAAAAACCGAAAAAAAGTTAGAAATTTGAATTTCTGAAAGGTCATGAGTTCAAAATATTTTGGGTTTCTTTTATCATTGAATAAACTATAAATATTATATCATATACAGTACACAATATACATACATATTATCATTGGTTATATAAATACATTAATGGAATTTATAATCAATAATATTATCTATGTATATTATATACATATTTCATCATACAGAGACGACCAATATGTCGTGTCTAAATATAATAATATGAATGCAATTGGAAAAGTGGGAAGGCTTACATTCTGTTTCATTACGAAAAATTAGTAACGATTGGGAAAAAAGAACACTAGAAAAAAATCTGTTTTCTTTATTATTATGTTGTTTATTATACCTACCCTATTGGTCGGGATCAAAAATTAGCATTGGTTGCTTCTGTCTTCTGTAAAAGGTAACAAAACGGGTGCGAAAATGTTGCGCTAGAACTCAACAGGAGAGAATTAGGACAAAAACTAGAAAAAGACGACGAGAAGATTAAATACAGAGTTATAATAAAGAAAAATTTGATTAAGTATCAAAAACCTTATGACGGAGAAAGCTGCAAAAATTGATCTAATTTAAGCTGAACTTGTGAAAAAAGAACTAGGGGATATCAACAATAATTTTTTTAACTCATTAAGAATATTTACATAGGCAACACAAGTTGTCTACATTTAGACTCAGAGCAAATAATTATACCTATACTTACTCCGAAAAAAAAACAACTACGAAAATATGTGATTACTGATCAGTATCGTACAAGAATTAGCCTTTTGACACATGTGTCGAATATACTAACAGCAATAATTATGTCCAGAAGAATGGAAAGAAGGTCAAAGCTATATCATTAGTAGATCAGTTTATGTTTACGAAGAATATGATTACCAGAGAGGGAATATTGGCTTTAAGTATAATAATTGAGAAAATAATAAATTAATATAAATAAACCATTTAACGGCCTCTAACATCATGTAGCTATAAAAAGCGTTTGCAATTGGTGGCTTATGTTTAGAATGCGGAATGGTTTTAGTAACTAAAATATTGATTATAGCCAGATCGATGGTGTTTGATAGGTGCTAAAATGATATCGATCATGATGTCGGATAGTCTTACCAGCTGACAAAACTATATTCGATGGCATCCAGATACCACCTATCGTGTCTGGTGCGGCTGTCTACTCATCATCGCGACTTAGAGCAGACCTATCGAACGACACGTGTCGCTCACGCCGCTTACGCCGCTGTTGCCTCGGTTCGTCGTAATTTTCATGCTGAAACTGATGCAGATAACGTTTATCCTGACACTGCTGATATTCATAATTATACGGCTCATTTTCTTGACCATGCAGTTGCATGACACGGTTTTGATGTAGCGGACCATCGTGACTATGCAAATCTTGTTGCAGCTGAGAATGATAACTATGAAGCGGCTGACGTAGCGGGTGGTCATAATAAACGTTACCAACAACGTGTTGCTGCTGATTTTGATTATGAGTCTTATACTTGGTGACTGGAAGTGACATATTATCCATTCTTTGTTGATCGTAAGGTTCGTAATCATTGTTCTTACTATGCGTGCCTGATGATCTACGGGCCATTGGTTTATACTCTGTAAACATAAAATTCAAGAACGTAATGGACGAAAGCCGTCTGTTACGACTACTAACGAGCCTATGTAGTAAGGACTTGCATTATTGCCTGAATTAGAGAGTGTAGACAATACCCATAGGGGATAGACTTATAGAAATAGACAGAACATTTGCTCCGATGGCTGAGAACGTGGTCGTGCCTATAACGGATTAAGATTTAAGAGAGATGGCTTGCGTTTTATTATAAGAGTAAGAGAAATGGTACGGTTCAGAGGACAACCAATACAATATATACTCTGTCCCAAAAGAGAATAATCCTAAACCTTGCCTATATCTCACCGATTGACCGGTGAATACGTATTTATTTTTATTCTCAATACTAATAATACAAGTGTGCAACAGTTGTGACTTACCTGAAGGGCAAGTGCAAACGTTCGTCTTCGGTATTAGCATAGATAGATCTACTTTTGGCGATCTTTTCATTGTACATGGTGACTGTTCGCAAGAGTCCAGAATCTGGTGTGGATGTGTCGCCCGCCAATAAGACTCCATGAACCCAGCGATGTGATCACACGCATCTTCTAACCGATTTTCGTCCACTATCACGTCAAACATTTCTGATGGACATTGAGCCAACTTTTCAGACGCAATCATTTGAACATTGAGATGTCGAGTTTGTGACTTACCTCTTAATTTGATCAAACGATGTAAGACCTACATTCACAATAAAGAACAAATTAAAAATATATTTGAATTCAATATGAATATGTTTTACCAATTAAAAAATGATGTTACTTTTAAAATATAATGCTTTCTCTCTCTGTATTGAAAATGTAATATGATAGTGTAAAAATGTATTATTGATTAAATTTAATAATTAATAGTATCAGTATAATATATATCATATCACTAAGATTTCGTAAGTCATTTAATAAATAGTATTGTGTGGCAAGGAGGAGAAGTGAGTTATTTCATTTGCTTCACGAGCCAATTGCGAGCGAGCTGCTGCCTGCTAGTCTCTCAAGACTAAATTTCCTACCCGCACGAGCCACACGTAATATTTTTTTTTAAGTCTCAGTTTCCAATAGGTATTACCACGTCAATGTCAATGAAAATAATACAGCATAATATTTACAATAAAGTGGTTAATTAGCAATTACAGAAACGTAATGAAATTATTTTATACTGCCAAATATGACCCTAATGTTGATGGGTAAGCACAAAAACATACTATATAATAATAACACCAGTCACTAATATGGGCGATACGGTATATTTATAAATCTCAACATTTATTTAGGGACGTAACTATATCTCTCCATTGCATATAATACTAATAACAGGATTTAATTATAGTTGGTACTTGGGGTACACATATTTATAAACACACATGCATATATATATATATATATATATATACATTGTACTAGTATTATAGTTATATCTTAGATATAAACAGCAATTAACAAAATTCTACAAATTTGTATAGCCTATATAGGGATACAATTGTTTTCGTTAAATTTTAAATAATGCAAGTGACATGCAGCAAGGCCAAGGCCGTATCTTGGTCTTGATCTTGGTTTGTTCTTCACTAACCTTATAATTAAAAATAACAATAATAACTACAAATAGTCTACTTCATGGTATAACTATTCTTTATTTTTTGTTATTTGATCGAATAGAGTACAGCATAGTATATCAAACATAATTAATAATAGATTTAAAAATAAAAAATAAATCTTTTAATGTTAATAATAGTTTCATTTATTTATTTATAATGGCCAATCTGCAATTTTAGGTTTACAGTTGAAGTTTACAAGTAATATATTATAGTTCAACGATGGAGTATAACGAATAAAAAGACCTTTATAAAGTAAAAAACGGTGAAGAGTGGTGCCATTAAAAGAATAGTTGTGATGAATAGAAGACCGCTGTATAGAAAAAGTAACATGACATTTGTTTGTAATAAGGCTAGGACCAATACCAGCAATACCGTGAGCTCAACTTGTAAATATATCAAATTCCAATTTTAGAATATGACATTGACTAAGATTATAAATTGCACAGAACAATTTCATGCCATCCGAATGGAGAAAAAGTTTAGCCTTTGTGATCCGCTTAGTGTTTGTAAATGAGAACATTTTCAATTAACAAAAAGAATAAATATAAGAGGACCTCTTTGAAGGATACCAAATGGCATCACAGATAGTTAGAGATAGCATTTTTTATTTTCACGAATTGTTTTCTGCAAGTGATGTAATAATATAACAAAGAAAGACTGTTTTTGTTTTAGCTTGGAGATGTTCTATGTCTAAAGACTTAGACACAATTATTATAAAACCATGGTCCATTGCACCAAACGCCTTTTTGAAATCTGTTATAATAATTAACAATCTATATGAATAATCGTAATAGCGTAAATTACATTTAACTATTTTTTTTTAATTATTAATTTGATCTTACATACACAAGAAGATGTGAAATTATATTATTTTCCTCCATATTTGAGAACTTGATAATTTTTTTAAAAATGTCATTTGGAAGTTCTTTTTTCTTCTCTGATCTTCTAGGTTAGGTTAGATATGCGTTACGTAATGTCTAACACTAAATGCTGCAGCTCCGTAAATATATAGCTAAAATATATGTATGGTTACTAAATTGTATGTTAAATTTTAACTCGGCAAAATTAAATATATTATACATTTATTAACACTCCCTTTTGCGTTTCAATTTTGAGGTTTACAGAAAAATCTTTCAAATTAAACGGTTTGTCAGCAAACGTATTAGTTTCAATTAGCAAATTATATCTTAAAATTCGGAATGAATAAATGACTAAACCACACTCTTACACATCTTACTCTCAACATACTACAACATTCTTCTTGGCATTCATATTTTTTTTTTCTGTGCTGAAGAAGACTTTGTTGTAATGAATTAAAGCGATTGCATTTTAATTGCGTAATAGTTGTTGGCAACTGTTGGTTTTTGAAACCTCTTACATTGTTTATTTGAACTTTTAAACAATCTGACGATTCATCTTTGAGTAATTTTGTTATAATAAAGGAAACATTACATTCAGACTTCAGTGTTGAGCAGTTTCAAGTTGATAACATTCAAATCTTCTTTAAAAAGGTTTTTTAATAGAACAAATCACAAGTTTAATGTAGGTTTTTTTGTGTTGTATGATCAGCTAATTCTTTGGAAAATCGTAACGTACTATTTTCACTTTTGTTAATAAATTCTGTGTGTATACTAATATCAATGTATGTCATTACTATTATTGATGAAACTGAATCAAATGGGCATATTTAATTAATAAATATTTATGTATTTTTGTCAAATCGAATCAGCCTTGATAAATTTTTATTTGTTAGTAGAGTATCAAATGGTGAACGCTTTGAACTTGATTGAATACTAAGAACTCTTTTGATTCTTGGATGTGAGTTCATATACTTAGTTATTCTTTGTTTTTTATATTTAATTGGTACTGGAGAAAAAATTGTATCCGTTCCATAACCACGCCAATTTTCAATTGCCTCGAGAGAGCAGACTCTTAATTTATTGAAGTACTTAGATTCGTAGTTGATGAGTTAGGATCTTTGTTAGAATACTTATAGATACTACCACTATTGGTTGGTATTGAACTTAATTCACCTCAATTGTTTGAATCAGAGTTATTAATACTTTTTAAATAATCTTTTGATGGACATACACGTCTATTATTTGATTCCGTATTAATCACCATGTCATCAAAGATTGAAATGTGATTGTTTTCGTTATTTTTTCCATTAAAGAGTCTCAAATTTGAGAACTTTTTATCAGTTTCTCATTAGATTCAGCACTTTTAAAATGAGTTATTATAAATCTATCCGCACTCATAAGATGAATATGTTATCTGAGAATTTGAGTTTTAAGCTATTTGAAATCGTTTTTAAAACTCGGTAAAGTTGATCATAAATCTACAATACATTTTTTTGATAAACATCTAAAATTAAAATTCATTAAAATTGCCAAAATTCAAAAGTTTAATACAAATTCCTCATACACTTAATAGAGCATTTTACCGGAAAGTCAAATTAGTTTAGTTAAGGTATATTTAAATCATGGCTAATACTGGAATAGTTATGGTTTGGTTATTTCGGTTTATTTAAGAATAAAAGCAGCGTACGTCGTATGATAAAGTTGTATACTTGTATGTAGGACACTCTCGTAACGTAACTGATCCTTAGCAAGGTGACGATGCCAGACTATAACCCCATATTCAAGTATGGATTGAACAAGATCATAATACAACGAACAGAAAAAGATTAGAAGACTAGAAGAACTTTGTACTATGTTTAATAGAACCTAAAATCTTCAGGGCACGACCTGTTAGTAATAGCTAAAAGAGAGATCAGATGAGTAATAAATACCAAGATCTTTGATAATAGATATCTGTTGTAACTGAGTTATTGAGCACGTAGGAGAAGAGTATAGAATTTCTGGATCTAGAGAAAGAAATAATACTATACGTACTAACATTAAGAGAAAGACCTAGGTATGTTGGAGACTCATAAATTAAATAAATTAAGTTTACTTAAAAAACTTAGACGGTTAGAATGGGTATCAATTTTATAAAATATTTTTAAGTCATGGATATAGAGAGGGAAATGAGCTATTTTTAGATAACTGAAAATAGAGTTGATATACAGGTAAAACAAAGAGGACTCAAATTTCCACCCTGTGAAACGCCAGAAGTGATATCAACCAAGTTGGAAGAAAGACGATTTAATTTAACAAATTGTGTACGGTTAGATAGGTATGAACGGACCAAAGGCGGAAGAGCGTCACCAATACCAATATGATCAAGTTCTTTATTAAAAAGTTTATGTGGAACAGTGTGGAAAGCTTTGGAAAAATTGGTATGAACAACCTGAGGTAAGCTGAGTCTTTTCTAGGGCTGTCATAAATAAAGGATGTGAAAGATACACTGCAGGTAATAGTACTCCTTTCTGTACGATAACCATGTTGCTCATGAATAAGAATATGATTTACCACACATTATCATAGATGATGGATTAAAATATTTTGGCAATGTGAGGTGTATGGAAATCGGACGATCATTGGTTACTACCGAAGAATCGGAAGACTTGAGCACTGGAATGACGGAGTATATTTTCAACACTGAAGGAAAAACACCTTCGTCCAAACATTTTTTAAGCAAAGAAATAAAGGGAAGAATAAGGAAAGGCGACATTGGTAAAGTAGGTAAGTTGAGATCAAGTGGTGGCCATACGATAGTATATTTGAATCGCTAAAGGTCGACATGCAGTGTCACCACATTACTAATAATTTACTATTGTATTCAAATATTTGATGATTAATTTATTATAATTTTGTATTTATATTTATTAATTATAATTTATAACTATAGTTACTATAGTATAGTATTATAATCCAATCCACTCAATGATTAAAAACATAAAAACTTGAATTTATAATATGTAAATATAATATATATGTATACTATAAATATCTCATATCTCTAATAATAAACAATTATTATCATTATGCAGAACGCACTACGCTGCCATCTAGTTTAAATTGTTTCAATTAAAGGTTGCACGAATTATGTTTAGTTGATTCATATCAAAGTATATGGTAATATAGGTAATGGCCTCTCCTTATATTATTTACTCAATGGTTGAGATCCCATCAGGGTCATTAGTGGAAACGTGTTTCAACTTACCAAGGGCAAAGAGAGGCAAAAAAGAATAAGGGTACTCGAATGGGTATTCGAAAAGACGGGATATGTTGATAGGTTTGAAGATAGACACAAAGCAATCAGAAAATAGAGAAGCTTATTCAAAATCACTAGAAGCAGTGAGCGCACCATAATAAACCTTCGAAAGGATTGAGGTATGCTATTTTAGATCACAAACATATTTCTAAAAATCACGAGGCGATTGAGTGAGTTGTATCTGAGTAAAATGAATATAAACTTGGTAGTTTCAACCTTTCTGCTAGCTTAGAAAGACGCTTGCACTTGGCTCTTAATTAGGGGAATTTACTATAATCACTAGGAAGAGACGTTCTTTAAAATGTGAGATGAGTAACTATTTAGCTCTTTGGAGGCCCAACGAGGAAACGAAGTGGTTTTATAAATTTGTTAAATAGCTCCTCAATCTCCATCGCTATATATTTCTTTAATTTCTTTATTTTCCTTCTATTCTTCTTGTAGTTTAATAAATTAAGTTGAATCTAATAATCAAAATAAAAATGCATATTAACTAAATAAGAAAAATATAACTATATAAATATTTTTCAACATAAAGTTATAGGCAATAATTCGCATTTCGTGGATTATTCAGTTTTGTATGTACTTTTACTGTATAATTTATGAAAAAACCAAGTTCAATATAAATTATAATAAGTAACAAAAGTTATTACTACAATTTAGTCAATAATTGTTTTTTAAGCCATAGATAACTAAATATGTTAAAAGTTTGGTTATTTAGATTAATACAATTGGTTAAAACAAACTTTTAAATTTACCAATTTAATCATTAAAATAATTAAAATAAAGTTATTTACTACACCTTGTAACCGGTGTCCGAATTACTGTTGTATACAAAATAATTTGTGTAACGTAACTTTTTCGGCCTATAGTGATAATCTACTATATATATATGACCAACAACAGTTACTTTTTATAAAGCAATTAATTCTAAAGGTTGTATAAAAGACACTTACTTCTGGTTTCATTTTTATATATACTATGTTTGGCGCAATAGAAGTTTTTACTAATTGCGATGGATGGTTGATGGTATCACAATCCAAAACAACAAGCTTTAAAAAAAATGAAACATCTCAAAGAAGTATTTATTATTATTAAATTATGTTATTGGTCATAAAATCAATAATGTACCTGCATTGTTTGACCGAATTCAAAAATACGTTCAACTTGTTCCTTCACGCAAGCAATGGTGTTTGATCGGGAACCAGGTTTATTTCCAATGGTAGTTATTTTCGACGGGTCATTAAAAAGAGATTTCTTAGCCAAGGATATATCAGCCATAACGCGGGTAATAATGATCCTGAAAAAAATATGAGTGACAATGAGAATCATTATAATTTTAATGTTGCGTGATAAGATCTCTGAACACATGAATTGTTTAAATGTATTTCTAATAAGTAATAAGTACCTATGGATGGCTCGGATTTTGATGCATTTTCAACTTCTTCTTTAACCCTTGACACAATGATGATACTTTATTTTGTTTTAGTATAATATCTATGGGTATTTACAAATTATTTTTTTTTCGTAATATTTCTAGAAATAGGTTTAAACTGAATTAAAAAAATAAATAATGCCCCAAATAGAGTTCGTTGTATACTTGACACACATTTCAACATTTGTATCTTGGAAATCATCGTGTCAAAAATTCCAGAAAAAAAGATGCGAGTGTATCAAAATCCGATTCCCAGTTAAAACTAATAACTGCGTATTATGTGTTGAAATATGAACGAGAAGTTATAATAAATTATAATTTATAATTTTACCTTCCTTCAAAACGGCGTTTCAAAAAGTTAAATAATACTTTTTGCATCATATCAGTCACTTCGTATCCCTTTAAAGATGGTCCGACTATCACAATTGGCCTCATCGAAGGAACAACGTCGTAAGGTGGCAGTGAAATATCTTGTTTCTTAAAAAATATATTTCGTTTATATTTTACAGCTGGAACAGTTAGAGCAGATGTACGACCACCTCCTGCAGTAGGACTACCATCTTTGTTATTAAACAAAAACATAAAATAACTAATCAATAATTGAAAAATTACCAAATGGAGAAACCAATAGTAGAACACAAAATTAATAAGGATGCTATCTTGAGAACGCATCTTTTAATTTGCAACGATCTGACCGAGCGTCTCTCATATTTGAAGGTACCTATTACGGACAATACAAGGGCAGCATGTACCTAATTCAATAGTGAAAACAGCAGTTGTTAAGAATAAAAACGCATTAGTCATGACGCCTTTGGATACTATACGCAAATTAATCACAAGAATACAAAAGTTGTTATAAAAATATAAAATTCAATCTGGGGCAGACTGTAAGATACTTACTACCAATGCTTCATACTATAGTATCTATCTTATATATTTGTTTTATTCTTAGCTTTTAGCTTGTTTGTTTACCATTTTAATATAATATAATATAATATACCTAGCGTCTTAGTGATTATAAGTCAATAATCTGACAGTTGTTTTGAGAGTTGTATCATTTGTATCTAATAAAGTATATCAGCTTACAATTAATATGTTATCCAGTGGCGCAGTCAGAATTTCTAAAAGAAGTGGCTGAAAGTGAGGGAGGAGAATAAAAAAATCTTACAAAAAATGTAAGCAATTTTTATCACCATTTGCCAAAACTTACCTTTAACTACTGGCTAGTAGGATTAGTAGATACTCCTGTCCATCCATACAGTCTGGACAAAAATATATACACGTGACTCCTCATGTTTAATACAACATATTATAGGTATTAATTACATATCATAATATTATCAAAGGGAAACACTGTTCAACTGTTCAAATGACAATAAATAAAATGAAACAAAGGGGTATGGAAGAGGGCCATTCCATGGTCATGACACGGATGTTGTCAATTTTTTTTATATAAATAAAACTTAATTATTCACAGTACCTACCTAAACATTATTTGGAATGTGCATCAATTACATCATTCCACATTTTTATGAGACATATAATCAAGGCAAAATTAAATAAATAAAAAATGTGAAACACATAAAAATGAAAAAAAGCTCTATGAAAATTATTAACCAGAAATATTATAGGCACTCCCAATAATATTTAGCTTATCACAATAATAACATAACAAGTAGATACAAAAAAAATCAACAAAAATTAAATCCTCTTGACTGCTAAAAATGTAACAATACATTTTTAAATAGCTAGAGGCTCAAAAATTACCCAAGTTTGAAGATACTGAATTTTTTGTTGAACTTAATTGGTCAACCATACGCATGATTTCGAGTTTGGTAGGTGATGGTATATAACACAGATCAGATCCTTCCTTCACCAGACGACCAATCCACCAGTTTTTATCATACTTTTCCTGAAATAATTAAAAAAAAAAAATCTTTGATTATCATACAAACGCTGAAATACCAGCTTACTACTTAGATGTTTTTTACTATTTAAATTATAAGAAGCATTAGATTTAGTCTTAAAGAATGAAACTATAAAAGGTATACTTATATTTATGATAGTAATAGTTGAACTTTTCTAAGTCCTGAAAAAGGGATAGCAATAGCAGTATAATTTCTAAAACACAAATATGAAATAAGTCTACCGGGCAGAGCACGTACATTTTTTGACTTTTAAAATATCTATTTTTTTACTAATACTTATTAAATAACCATAACATATTTTTTTTAGCATTGTTAGGTATATTAATTTTAAAAAAGTAATTAAATTACATTACTCAACGTTTAAAAAAATGTGTGATAAAATTACCTACTTGAAACATTAATGAGAAAAGTATTAGAAAATAAAACATTGAAAACTGAATTATAATGAGTGAAAAATAATATAGGTAAAATACTAATGATATTTATAGTACTTTTTTAAATTTAAACAAACATATTTTCTTTTAATTCTCTATCTCTGAACAACGGTAACATATTATATTTAACTTAACAAAAAATAATTTAATTACATTTTTGAGAATTGGAAATAATTTTATTGAAATTACTTAATGCATTTATTAATGCATTACTTTCATTACATTATTATTTATTTTTATTATCCAACATTGTTTTTAGATTTTCTGTACACACATGTATGGTATTAATAGGTACCTACCTACTTCTTTTATTTAATAGACACATTTTTAAGTTATTTTTAAAATGTCTTTATAGACTTGATTTTTTAAGAAAAAATAGAAAAATATCAACAACAAAAAAAATGGTGGAATATAAGGTATCAGTTTGAAATAAATGATTTTAATCGTTTTGTTAAAATTCAACAAATAATAATTCTGTTCTATTAGTTTTAACATGAAATAAGACATTATTGATTAATATTTAAATTTTGCTTTACAAATAAATAACTAATATAGAAAAATATTATCATTCATTCAATATAACCTTTAAGTAAGTACCTAAATAATTTAAACAACATTGAATACATTTAATCAATACAAATTAAATAAATAGATAAACTGTTATTAATGTTAAGTACTTACCTAGTTCTAAGCATTCAATATTTTTACTTTAAGTGTTAGATACTCATATATACATATATAAATAAACTAAACTATAGTACTTTATAAATAATGTGCTATACCAGCTATGATCTAATCATCTAACTTCAGACTAGCAAAATATCTATTGACTATCAGGGTTCATTACTTCCCAGTCAGCTTTATAATATATTCCAAGAATACAAATATGATAAAAGTAAGTGTTAATGTCTTATAATACTGAAATTATTATTCATTCTAAACTACTTAATAAAAATATTCAAAAATCACCTTATCAAAACAATTTTTCTTCAAAATTGTTTTAGTAAATTTCAAACTTTAATTCATAAGTACCATAAGGTTACACTTTTGTGTATTAAAACGCTGCTGTTCTGTTGTTCCTCTTAAGACAAAAATATTTCAAATAAGTATTATAATTCATAATAATAAATTATAATTAATACTTAATAGTTAATTATATACGACTGGAAAAGTAAGGAGAGGAACATTTTATCAGTTGAAAATATTACAATACTAAGATATTTACGTTTTGAACATTGGGTAACCTATCTAATTTCAAAAATGAAATTTGTTATGCTGATCAAAACACAACTTATGTGCCTAATACTAATTATATTTTTTTTATATACATATAAACTTATTAACTTAATGCTTTGTCAGAAAATTCATATTTAGAAGTATACCAAATACCAATGTATTTTGTATACACATATTTTAATCTTTTATAAAAATTATATAAATCTTTAAATGTATACATGTATAAGCAGATCAGATTAAGAGTTTAAAAGTCATCAACCCATATAAAAAATAAATTATTAATTTAATAAGAAACATTATCAATAAAATTAGATAGCAGTTATATTGTAAACTATATACATAAATATATAAATAAAGATTTATGAAATGAATCAATGAACATATATTATAAACATTTTTCATTTTTAAAAGCTATTAACTGTTATAAGTAGGTACCTCGTATCTAGGTAATAATAATAAACTGTTTAAGTGGTTGAGATATACCTACCTACCTAAGGGTTATGAAAAAAAAACATAATAAATAGGCAAACAAATATTATTAATTTAATAAAAAATAATATAATATATTATGTCATGTTTTATTGTTTTAAATAGATATTTAAAACAACATTACTAATATTATTACTTTGTTAACAAAAATTAAATATTTACCAGATATAAAGTTGGTAATTATTATTCAACATTTCAATACAACTTACCAATAACAGACGATAATGTAAATTATAAAAGTTAATTTAACAGAAAATTATTTTATCTTACATGGGTAATCCATAAATCAATTACCAACATGGTACTGTGTATAATATATTTGTTTTATCATTTTTAAATTTCATTAATTCTAGTATTGTATTAAATAAAAGAAAATGTCAAATAGGTAACTAAGAACATAATATATTATAGGTACCTTGATATGTATAAATTCTTGAGTCTTAAATGAGATTGCATGGCCTTGTAATGGATAGTCATCATCCAAATTGCCATCGTATGCGACATTTGAGCGTAAGGCAAATGCCACTGGTTTTGACTGTAATAAAAACGAAAATATATTTACGAAGACCTTCGTATCAAAAAATTAAACACAATGTTGACACAAATTTGTGACTGGGGATAGTAAAAATAAAATATCATATTTTTGTAATTTTATTGAAAACGAGTGGTCAGCATTGTGTTCGCAAAGGAGCAATTGCTGTGACGACCAAAACGGCCTGAATTGTGTGTAGGTATATAGAATCGCCTTGTGGCGGTATGCGTACAGTCGAGCAAGGTAGCGATTGCAACAATGGATTCTGGTCTCCGCCGTCCACGGAACTGAAGCCACATGCCATTTTTTGGTAGTTGAGAATGTCGAGTGTCGACGGTAATGCACTATGGTCTACGGGGAACGGATCGATTGAAATATCATGTACATATCAACTTCGGGATAATTCACCTTCGTTTTCACCAATGCGGAATTAAAATGAAACGTTTCGGTGAATCTTTGGGGGTCCATTTATTCAACCTGTGGCGGTTCTTTCTTACCGATAATTTTACTACAGTGTTGTAACTTGTAAGCTCCCTGATAAACTTGTTATCACACTAACAACACTCGTTCTGATAAAGGAGCGTGCCGCGATCACGACCACTGTGGGATCCGTGGGATCAGTATTCAACGTCGGACTTAGATAATAGATATATTATATTGTAATATATTATATCTTAGTCCTTGCCCCGTAGTATTCACTATTCAGTAATCATAATTCAGGATAATATTATGATTTAACTTTGTAAGTACCTATATTGTACAACGTAATAAACGTATATCTGTGCAAGGTCTACGGGGTTACAGCCTTTTGGACTACGGAGTTCAGAGCAAGACAAACTAGAGCTCAGGGCTCAGACAGAAAGTCGCCACTTGCCAGTCACTTCAAAATGTATTTGCATAAATATGTATTTTCTTAATTATAGGGATATATTGATGTTTTGTTTACACTCTTCAACTATTTGGAGCCTCTCTGTCATGTTCATTAACTTAATATCTTGTATTATTTATTCACCCGTTCTTGAAATATACTTACTGGGTGACGCTTGGATTGCTAAAATGGGAAGCCTTCGCCCATCTTAATAATATCATAAAACAATAATGTACAAACAAATATATCAGAAAAAAATGCAAAAAAGCTTGTTTCCTCGTCCGGAATCGAACCCGTAACAACTGTCGCGGCCGTCGGAGAGTTTCACCCGAACTATCGTCGGAGCGTTTCGCGTTTCGGCGTAACGCCCTTTTTTTATACACTCCGACTCCGTAAAGAAGGAACTCCGGCGATGTACTTATCCATCCTATTGTCGGGTTCACGCTGAACTTAACTTTTCCCAACAAAATTGTTCCGTCTAGGAACAATCCAAATTGTTTTTAATAACAGAAACAAAACAAAAACGAGATTCTATGTGAACGCGGCTTAACATAGATCTATAATAAACTAATGGCCTGAACACAGAATAGGTGAAATTAGAATGGACGTTTTCCAAAAATGTACATTGGCTCTAATGCGAGCCCGGGAATTTGAGCTAATGTGTACTGTGTAGTCAGTGTTAACAATAAGTACGAAAAATAATATTGAATAAAATCAATACATTTTAACAGCATGTATACCGCGCAACAAAATGTATTGATTTTATACAATATTATTTTTTCTACTTATTGTTAACACTGATTACACATTAGCTCCAATTCCAAGCGTCTTATCAGTTATCACCACTTGCTCAGAGAGAGCGCTTTTCGTTTACTCGTTTACTCAATGTGTTTACCGTTTGGTAGTACGGGGTAGTTGGGTGTGATGCACAAATAATTATATTATGTCGTCAAGACACATTGCTGTATATTTCTTCAAAACAACCTACATCACTGCTAGTCGCTAGAAGTTGTTCCGCCGTTCGTAATGCTATTGTTATACACAGTTTTTGGTATAAATACTATAGTATTATGCAGTCGACATATTAGTTACAGTTCGCAATGCGGACTTTATTTTATATTGTATTCGTTTTGTGAATTATGCTGTATACGACTTCAGTGATTTTTATGTTTATATTCCTTTAAATAATGATTTTGCGTCCCCACTCATGGCACCAACGACGATGCCGCTGACCGACCGACCACCGTTCTCTTTCCTCACCACGATCGGCCGAGCCACACGTCTCGGCCCAAATTATGTTTCCATCCATAAGGCGCCTAATTTAAATATGTAATAATAAGTATAACATAGTACTCTGTGTTATTAGCATTTAGCTGCCATTTAAAAAATGTCTGCCACAACCACTCTCAAATCTCCCCATTACCGATAAGAAGAGTTAGCAACACGGACTAAGATTGCTGGTTTCCATTCCATTGTATCTTAGTCCTTGAGCAATCTAGTTTATTAACTATGTCTGTGCCACGCTCCACAATTGGAGATATAGTCACACTGTCACAGAACAATAAAGATGTTACTATCGGTCAGTTGATCTGGTCACTGTGTGTAGATAGCATGGTTGCAAACCGAGTAAAAGTGGGTTCTGAATGTTCTCTATCACCAAATACTTAAGCTCATAGAGCATTTCAGCGGATATGTATAATAACTCACCAAATGGAAAAATAATACGATTTCCCGCTTAAGACGCTATTTTTAACTGGTCCCTTGGAGAGCGTCTTAAACGGGTTCTACTGTATATAGATATTATTGAGTACGACAACTGTAAGATTTTATAAGCAAACTGATATATTAAGACGTTGCAAAATCTTAGGTAATATTGGCTGATTTCAGGAGAACTATTGTGGGTCATAGACATCCTGTATAATTATTGTTCTATGGACTAAGGTAGAATACTAGAATGTAATACACCGTACTGCAACCATACTATCTAAAGCCGTGGTATGAAGTATTTGATCCTAAAAGTTTAAGCCACGGACTAATATAGTATATGGACTGGAAACGAAAGCCTCAACACCGGTCGGCCGCTTAAGGTTATGAGTAGGATTGTGCGGGGTGAAATGTGGCAAGTGCGACTCGCGCTCTATCTATGTTTATAATATATTATGAGAACCAATATTAAATAATAGTAATAGTTCCATCCTAGTCCGTAGTATCGATGGCACCCTTGCTGCATTCCCCCCGCACAGACCTACTCATTACAACCCAACCCGGGCTCCCCATCACCCTCCCGCCTGTTCGTTACCAGTCCATACCATAGACCTTATACTTTGTATGTAATTAAACTTTATGTAATTATACTTTGTATAAGGTCTATGGTCCACACTATCTAGATTCGTGGTTTCGAAAAAAATGAATAAATAAAAACGTTACAAAAATTATAAAATCAGAAACAATCCATTGATCACGGACGACATCCATATTCATTTATTCAAAGTTTTTTATGTATCGTCAGTTTCAGTACTGTATACATGTTACTATGAAATAAAAAATATTATAATATTGATATGAAATATTAAATTGATAACGTATATCACGCTCCCTGGAGACCGTTCAACTGTTCAAGGCCACTGCAGTAACCAGATTGGGCCAAATCACACATACACAGTACACACAGTGTCAAATGCCGTATAATGGTTGCCCGACGAGCTGTGTAATAGCTGTCACCATAATTATTCTTTTCTTTTTTTCTTTTTCGTGGTTTTCAGCCTTCAAGACCATACCGTCCAACAAATTTGCCTCCAGTTTTCTCTTTCTAATGATAATTCCTTCCAATCCTCTCTTGGTTTTATTTTTTCCACGTCTTCTTTTACTCTGTCTTCCCGTCTTAATCTTGGGCGTCCTAGTGGTCTTTTTCCTTGTGGTACCCCTTTTATCACTGTTCTCAGCATTGATCCTTTCTTACGCCAAGCGTGTCCTGCCCAGATTAGTCTTCTCTTGGTAATGTCTTCCACTATATTCGGATTTTGATACACTTCTTTTAGTTCCCTATTTTTTCGGATTCTCCATTCCCCAGTATTGGCATATTTACATGGACCATATATTTTCCTAAGTACTTTCCTTTCAAAGACAACTAACTAGTTTTCATCTGTCTTTCGTAACGTCCATGTTTCCGACCCATAAGTCACCATAATTATTACTCATGATAAAATACTTCTGTAGCGTTTGTAGACAGCAGTGGAATATTTGTGTACTATATGATATCATAATTGCAATAAAAAAATATGTCAGAAAGCGCATTCAGTCAGTTAAGCAGCTGTTCCTGCGAGCAATTTCAATTACTATGTGATATCTATGAGTTATGACACAGCCCGTTGGGCAACCATTATATCTTTAACAGTGCATTGGGACACGGACTAAGATGTAATGTACTGGCATCGAACAGGCAATAACATAAAAATATGTTATGCCCATTCTTTATTCACTCTACCTTTCAAATAAAAACCCAGTGAATCAAATCTAACTGAACCTTATTAATTTAATATGTTTAATATTTTAAAAATTTAAAAATTTAAGTTAAATTTTTTATCAATTTAACTTAAATACATATTTTATGTTCAATTAACACGTAGATGGCGTTAAAATCAGTCGAATTTTGTAACCCCGGGCACTAATCAAAATACTCTGCAACATTTTCGACTCACAGATAATCTTATGCACTCGTTGCTAGTCCATTACATCTTATATGGCTACCTTAAACTATTTGAACTTTGAAGGAGCGTGGTGGTATTTCCAAAGTGTGTGTGGGTAGCGTTGATCATGGTGACCTCCCACTTTTGCCCATGTGGGTAGTCGGGTAGACCACTCCAATTTGTACAACAATTAAAATACGTCACTATCATGTAATACAAAAATATTTCAACATTTCTTTCAAGTAGGTAAAGAATTTCAAGCATTAATTATAATATAATACATATAAGGACTATGGGTAAAATATTGTATAACAATTATGTTGAATGAAAAATGTGTGTGAACAACAAAAGTACTATTGTAATGGCATCACTGGACTTTTCCGTCATCGCACCACCCAAACCAGCCGGCAATTCATGCTTTGTAGTTTGTATATTAGTCACGGACCAAGATATGCACTTTTAGTCCATGATATTATAATATTATAAATATGAACGTGATACCTATTTTATTTTCATAAACGTTTTAAAAATACATTCGAGATAAAATTTGATACTTATATCGACTTTAATCAACTTGTATCGAAGTTTGAGTTCGGTACGAATCGCTGCAAATTTTATTTTAAACGTTCAAGAATGTTTAAAATAAAATTGATTCGACATGTGTCGGCAGTACTTATAATGGTGTCCACTCTAATTTCTTAATTGAAAATCTTGATCCCAATTGTTTAGATACCCTCACGATATAGATCAAATATTTGTTTTATGTACAGCAGATCACGTTTAGCTCCGATAGTTTAAAAATTAAAGTGAATCTAACCTACTATGAAACTTGATTGTGAGAATAATAACCTTGTTTATATGTGGGTTTTCCACGACAGTAAATTTTTAGGGAGTTTTGCGTATATAATATATATTTCTAAATATATAAATTTAAAATGTTCATAGCTCACTTAGAAACTGAATTATCGTAGAAAACTGTAACAAACGTGGACAATATTTTTACCATTAAGTTTCATAACAGGTCGATTCATTCTAATTTCAAAACTAACGGAGCTAAACGTGATCTGCTGAGCGTATTTTTAGTATGTCACACATTTGTAGGACACCTTGAGCCAACAAATGTCCTTAGGGTGGACTGAGGTCCATTCGGTCTACTATTATGAAAGTAACTTAGCACTATACTGTTAGAAACTTAACTTTTACAACTTAATTTTTGACTTTTGGTTATTCAAAACCCACCATAATCAATAGGTAGGTGATAAATATTTTTAAAATTTCAATTTATATCAGGTAATATTTATTGTTTGTTATTTGCATTGTACTTCGAATTTATGATTTAAAATACAGATCATAGGTAAAATCTAGAGTATAATTGATGTGATGGATCATGTTTCATTATGAATTAAAAGGTCATGACCAGTTAGCCGACTAGCCGAGCCAAGGGGCTGTTTATTTGGGTTGGGTTTGGTTAGGTTTAGCGAGGTAGATCTAACCTAACGTTGCCAACGACATACGCCGGTGTTATTGTTTAGATTAAAATTAATTCGATAACAGCAGCGCTATCTACTGCCGCCAACTCTAACGCGTAAGTGAAGAGCTGGCAATCACAGCTGCTTAATTTAATTAGTTAGATAGCGCTGCTATATACGATTTACGATGATGTGGACGTAGGCAAAGCTCCATTGGGCTACTTTTTATAAAAATCCTAAAATGTTTGGGCCAATTGCGTCACCAAATATGATAAATTAAATATTCTTATTTGTTATTTGGAATTCGACATGTTATTGTACTGTCATTTTATTTATGTGCTGGTACCAATCGGTAATTTCAATTTTCAAATTTTTAAGACTTGAAATGCTTTTTCGATTTTAAAATAGGTACATTTTACTTGCTAGCATTTTTTAGAAATACTAGTGTATATTTTATTAAATAAAAAGCGATATATTTATCAATATGAATTTTTATTTTCAAGTATTGATTAACCGGTACAATATACTTCCCGGATAAGATTACTGTATTTGGTTTATGCATGATAATTTTTACTAATTTTATGAAGAAGAAAAACTGTTTGTTTGTTCATGGTAATCTCTGAAACTAAATTTTACTATCCTTAACCGATTTAAAATATTTTTTTTAGCATTAAAAAATTATACAATTAGGTTCTAGAATTTTGACTGATATTTTCGGTAGTCAAAAATAAAAGTCTATTTCCTATAAAAACTAATTTTAAAATTTAAAATCGAGCTGCTAAAAGAATAATTATTTTTCTACCTAGCATGACGCATAAGTAAAAAAAAATACGGTTTGCTCAATCTCTTAAAGGGTAGTCCCATGTATTCTTGTATAGTTGTACCCAAGTCCTAAACCTTAAAGTCCTACATGTGCAGATATTTTTTCGTGGCATGCCTAAATAAAGATTTCGTTTTGAGATTAATTGTATCGATAAAAAAATCATTATTTTCTTAAAAATAAACAGTGTAATTTGCTTAATAAATAAAAATCATAGTTACAAAATATAAATAAATAATAATAGTCATAATCTTATTCAGGTGACCGCGTTTCGGCGCCCGCCGAATCGTACCGTTCGACGTCTTCGACAAGAAGTGGCGGCGGTGCCTTAGACGGATGACGCTGGACGCCCTCGTAAGTAACGGACGCCTTGTAACCGGTGGCAGGGCTAACGGTGTATTTGACGGTCTGTGTCCGACCGTCCGGTAACCGTACCCGGTACAGTCCGGTCACGGTACCGGTACGACCGGGTTCCCGGCGTTCCCATTGGCCGAAATCCATGCCCACGTTCTCGTCCAATACAGTGTACGCGAAACCGTATCCGCCTGGTTCGGCCTGTTCAAGTTCTTCTTCAGTCGCGATGTAATCGTCATCACCGTCGATCACGTCCTGCTCTATAATAGGCGCTTGTGAAGTGGTCAACACCGATGGTTGTTGATCGCTTGGTGTCGTGATACGTCTACGATCGTTATGATTCTAAAGAAAATCCAATCAAACTAGCGTTATTTTTTTAGAATTAGTTATCAACTCGTATTTTTCAAGTTATAGCTAAGTATCTATAGTTTTTCAATGAGCTCAAATAACACTCCCGAATTGCTTTGAATAAAATTAATCGTTTATATAGTTATAAATTCTAAAAAGTTGGTCACCTGCTACAATTAATATTAACAAACTAAAAATTAAGGTTAATTAAAACTATTTTGCACAATATATTAAGTAGTCTTATTAAGTGTGGAGGGGGCATACTCCTTTTTTTAAAATTGACTTTTCAGTTTTTATTATTATTTATAACTGAACAAGTTTTGATGATAAGTAAGAATTACCATAACTACAAAATCATAATATATGTGTTGACTATTGATATGCAATATATGCACTACTATTTTAGCACCATTGTGATACTCTCAGGCAGTGTCAAATTTGAAAACAATATGACATATATAACCTAACTTAACCAAGTGACGTTTTTGTTTTAGAAATGTGATATTACCACCAATCACCATAAATCACATTAATCTATGATCAATGGTGCTAAAACGATTAAAACTGTGTTGCATAAAAGATCAATTTTTAGTACATTCAAAAAAAGACAGCTTCCTAAATTATTCAATCCTTTTTTTTCATTATAAGTTATAAGTTATAATTGTTATGCTTTATAACTTATAACATACACTTACATGTTTTCGTTCGTAACTGTTTTGACTATCGTACAACGTCCGACTACCTGTCCCGTCGCCATTTTCACGGTTCTCCTCGGCCGCTGGTCGGTGAGATTTGGCCGAAGATTGCACTTTGCGACGCAGTGATGGTCGAGTAGAGGTCGTCGTCGGAACCGTCGGAACGGTCGGACTTACTTCGGCACCGCCAATGACCGATGGCTTTTGACGGCGTCGATGTTCGATTTCCCCCCCGCGGCGCTCGTCCTTGTGACCCCGTGGCCGTTCAGGTAATATTACTACGCTGTCCTTCTCCAATCCTGCCGCAGCCGTTACATTCATGTTTGCGTGCTGATCGCTGCTGACCCTCTGCTTGTTCTTGGACGCGTCTCGGTCGAAATTTACAAGTTTTCTACCGTCTTCGGGTTTTTGGGCTCTCGAGTCCTTGCCGTCGAGTGCATCACGGTGAGTACTATTTCCCCGCCCTTCGACTACCCCGTTCGCATATTGCAGTGGGTAATAGTTAAAGTTATTATTCACTGCACCGTCATTGGCGTCGTTGTAATTTATACGTTGTTCGTTTGCCGCGTTCGTGTTGTACACAATATTACTGTCATATACCTCGAAGGCGGTGGCGTTGTTTGGGTGATCGCGAAATACGTCACTTTTTGATTCACCGTCGAGTAAATGGAAATTCTGATTTTCCCTGTATCGGATCTGAGTCGTCTGGTCGTCGGATTTTACACCATCGGCAATCTGACCGTTTCGGTTATTATTTACGTCTGTCAACTGCGGCAGCACATCGGTGTTTACGACATAGTGAGAATTTGGACGGGGGTCGAGCTGGAAATCAAAATCGTAACTCTGAGGTGGTCCCCCGTTGTTTTCCCCGTCGGACCACTCCCCGTTCGCGTTGTACACTAATTGAGGATAATGTTTGTTTTGTTCTATGGCCGCGTTCACCCTGTTGTTGTAGTTGTTTTGACTATCGGTCGTGTTCTTCTCCAGCACTCCGCCGTTAAGACCAAAGTACGAGTTTTTACGGTTTTCGTCAACGGCTCCGTGCGCATTAGTGGTAAGCGTTACATTACGTAACTTGTTGTTATACCCTTCGGATAGTTCACTTGCGTTTACGTATGGGTACAGATTGCGGAAATAATCGATTTCATCGTCCAGATGCTGAACTTGATTTTTTGGTCGTAACTCATCGTTGTAGTTCGTAGTCGTCGTCGGCGGTGGCGTCACGAACGTAACGATAGCGTCCGGTTGACGTACCTGTAGCTGCTGATAGTCTTTTTGCAATCGTTCCTGGGACTGCCCAATTGGCGTCCAGTCCGAATGTGACAATGCAGCGCCGTATTGTTGTTGATATTGTTGTTGTTGTAGTTGCTGCTGCTGCGTCTGTTGTTGTTGTTGTTGTTGTTGTTGTTGTTGTTGTTGTTGTTGTTGTTGTTGTTGCTGTTGTTGTTGACGTCGTTGGACTGAAGCGTTAATGGTCAATGACGGTCGGCGATAATCTGCTCTTTTTTGGGGTTTGGGTTGCCTTGTCCCGGTAAATGTTCTATCCGTGGACACCTGTGCTTGCACCTGTAGCTGACCGCTGTGAAGGTCCGACGATCTGCTGCTAGCTTTGATTTGATGGTAATTATTAGTGGTTTCGGCCGGATTGACTGACGTTAACATTATCGTCTGCAGATGAAATAAAATAATACATTATAATATTATACAGGGTGATTCGCCCATTTATTACTATTTACTACAATAATGCAGTTATTTAAAATCTGATTTTTGAAATTTTGAAATTTACCATACTTTGAAATTCTTAATATTTATGTACTGTATTTAAGGAGATCTTTTATCATTAATAATTTGTAAAAATGGCTCAAGTTTAATAAATAAATAGTTGCAATATTAGGTTCATTTTATATTTTTGTAAAACCATTTTTGAAGACTAATTTAGAAACTACTCATTTGAATTTATATTAGGTACATTAACATTTTCAAAAATATTATCCACAAAATAATTTACAGTTAAGGCCCCCCCTTAGGCTCCCCGGTTCCACTTCTCGTTTGAAAAAAACAGAAGTTTGTATCTCTAAAATAGTATTCTTAAGTATTACAAACAAATTTAAGAATTTGAAAAAATTATCTTTGAGTGTATTTAATAATTCCAAAAATCAGAGTTTGAATAAATTAATCATAAAATTTTTAAAAAATGGGGATGAGCGTGATTGCTGAAATATCTTGTGTAGAGAAGGACTTGCGTACATCGGCTTATTTCTGTCTCAAATACAAAACCCGATAATATATTAAGAATTCTATTACTTATTAATAATAGCATCATGTGGGTGGTATGTAAGTTCCTGTTGTTCTTAAATCTTGGATAATATTTAAAATTGTATTTTTTAATATTATTTATTATTTATCAATAGTTGTTGACGTTGTTGTCTCTATATTTCATGACAATAAATATTGACATTTTAAATATTTAGGGACTTAAAATATTATTAATTATTAATTACTAAAATTAATATTGTTTCATTATTTGCATTGAACACACACAAATGTATGTGTTAAACTAAAAATGTTTTGTTTACCTATACATGAGTCGTCATATCCCTTGCTTATATTATAATTTTTTAATTAGAAATTGTAAACACAAATCAAAATTAAAAATCAATAAGAGAAAATTAATTAGTATAGGTATATTATACATATACCTACCTACATGCTTTTTAATGTCGATATTATTTTATGAAATTCCTAGAGTTGAAAATTTATAATTTTGGTTTTGTGCTATATGTTAATATAAAAAGTAAAATAAACAAGCTGATTACCTGAAGTACAAGCACCAATACTATCCAGCTCCGTTCCATTGCATATATTTCCATTTGTCAAGCTTAAATTAACAATTTGGTATCACCAACTGAATTGTTATTGATAGTGACCACTAACCATACTCTGTTATGTGACAAACAACACGCGCATGTTATATTCACGAAGTTCAACCCTTCCCACGAGTTATTATAAGGTAAATAAAACTATATTTTATGAAAGAGTGAAATATAACCGGTCTTAGTGTAAAGATTAATTACATTCGCATTTTTTTCTTTTATTCAATTATAGCATAGCTTTCTTTAGAGATTATACTTATAAGATGGCCATGTAGCAAGTTTTTATAGATATACAGAATACTAATATACAACTGGATTAGATAGGTAGTTAATTTAAAAATCATATTATAGTATGCATTTGATGAATATTGAAGACTCATTATGCATCAAATCTAATGAATAAAAAAATATTGTAAAGGTAGAAAATACTTAATACTTATCTACTTCCACGATGTATCGTGTATAGTATATGCGAGTAAGTCACTATTAAAATAGTATATGGTATTGGTAAATTACAATACACATAATGAAAAATGTACAAAATAATTTCAAACTGAAAAATATCATGGATATATTTTAAAGAATTACTTAAAACAAAGATTTCATTTTTTATAAACAGTGGTTATATTCTGGTCTATATGGACTATAACCGCCATTCAGTTAATTCATAATATAGGCACCTATGAATTTATGATAATGTAGATTAATAGCCTGATTCAATTTATATTCATAAGCAATACTAATTATTTAAAAATAATTTATTTGAGTAATACCATGTTTCCAAACAGCAAACGTATCTATGATTTTTTTTTTTTGAAAATCTATTTGTGCCTACATAAGTAAGTACAGGCATACATTATGATTTAAGTTTTAAATTAACATTAATAAATATTAAAATTTGTTGGTTTTGATTTTTGAATATTAATTGTGTATTTGTGTTATATTTTGTAATTATTATTGGAAGGAAGTCCAACTAAAAGAGGGTGAATGTAGACGAAAAAAATAGTTTTAATTCCTCTTGGCCAATTTATTTTCTGCAGGGATCTCTTGGAATAGTTATTTGGAGAGATAAAGAGGATTATCATGATTTGAGAGATTGCTGTGAAATGTGTTGTAATGATGATGTTTTTTAAATGAAGATAAATGTAAACTGTTAGGTTTGAAACATACTAGGAGCAATTAGTGACTAGTTTCAAACTAATTGTAGTGAAAAATATTGGACTGTTTAACTGTCACTAAATTTGGATGACATAATAATATATGAGTACCTACCGATAAAACTAAATTGGACCTATATTAAAATATTATTTTAATTTGATTTCCTGAAAATAGAGTTGACTATTAAATTATATATATACAATATTATACATAAATATTTAAAAAAGGTACATTTTTTATTTGAATTTCATATTTAAAACTTAAAGATGATATATGTATTGTAATTTTTTTTTCAGTTTGAAATCGACGACGCCGCGGGAACTGCTTTCGCATTGCTTCCACGAATATATATATTGTAATTAGAATTAGGTACTTTCCTAACAGTACAATACTCTGTAAAAATAAATAAATAACCTTTTAAACTCATAACAATAAAACTTATTAAATTACATTTTTACTAGTAATACTAAAAAAAAGTTTAAAATCATGTACTAATGTATCGCAATTTTTAATTAATAACTGATCAAATTAAAATGACAAAAAATCTAGTTAGTCGCGTTTATGGATTTATGCGTTGACTGTACGTTCTATTTTTTTTCTACTATTTTTACTCTCGATTTTCTAAATTGTAATTAAGCAATTTAAAGTTGAAACTAGCAACTATGTAGAATAGTTATCATCGTATTATTTGGTATCAAATACATTTATATGTGTAGATAGATTAATTGGGATAAAGAATTTATCTGAACCGATGAGTAGGTAGGTATTTACTTTTCTTTTTTTTAGAATGAAATCACCGTAATATAATAAATTATGGAATGCCAATTCTATTAATAAAAAAAAATACATTCAAGTGCAACGTTTTTTAATGGAAAGTGAATGATGCTATGTAGAAAATAAATTTAGTTGTAATTTTTATATTAATATAACGTGCTTCGTCAGATTTGTAATAACGCAAAAATAAAAAGAATAAAATAAGCTATAGACGATCACCGTAAAAGTTAGTACGACGCCTGCCGACACTAATATTCAAGATGATCTAAATTTACGTTACTACCTTCCTCCTGATCGTCGGAGGGTTCTCGAGATCGTGTATTCGAGAATTTGATCAAATACACTTCTATGATGTAGATGTAAATGCATGCACATATAATTTAATATAATGCAGTCAACAATACTATATTTTATATTTTAATATGTATTATGTCTTACCTGACTCGCAGCTGTCTCTGGGTTATGCAGTAGGAGTTTTAGGTGACACAAATTAATTATTTAAAATACTCGAATAAAAATAAAGAAACACACTGATTATTGCTCGTCAAAAGGAGTCCAGTTGTCGCTCGTAGAATTCGGTATAGAGAGGTTGTTAATCTGTTTTCGCGGTGCGCCTGCACTCGCGAGAGGCTGTTTCACTCGAGGAAGGTGCTCATGCACTGCCGAAGGGACGATCCGGTTGTGCCGGCCAGAGAGTGATAGGCGGCTTCATCAAAAGGTTGTTTTGTACATCCGATTTCTCTTCTGTGACAAGGACCTTTTTTACCATACCTTTTCTCCGGCGGCATGTAAGAAAGCCACACGTCCTACGCTCTACAGTTGCAAACATAGGTACGTGTCGATTTCTTAATCCCTGATCGTATAATATAATTAGACAATTTTGTCTGTGACAATAATTTATTGGGGTCTAGAGATTTCCGATTTCTACGTGTGACAGTCTGGCCGTTATTTATTTATTTGTTATATCTTAAATAATTGTTACAATGATGTGTGAGCATATCATTACAGATTGCAGTTACTACGATAAATATCATAATATGAAATCAAACTTAAAAATTTTAAAACTATGGTCATCATTGGAATCGGTATATAAAAGTAGTCACTATTCAATATTCGATAATGATATTAAATAACTACCTAGGACCTAGGTATATATTATTATTAGCTAAACGCCTATACAAATGATTAGAAAAAAAATTGCAGGTATTCGAATAATCGAATCACCAATTATTACCATAAAATGTGGTCAATTAACTAAAAACTATTATCCCCCATTACGCATAAGACCCATATAATATATGATATTATCATATGCATAAAATTCTTCGGTCGCAGTGTTTGTTATTGAACTCCTCTGAAACGGCTTGACCGAAATTCATGAAATTTTTTGTTAATATTTTGTAGGTATAGGAATATATATCGTAAAATATTTTTCACCCTCTTGGCCTCTTCCTCTCACCCTTTGTTGCTCAAAAAGGGATTTTGAGATTTACGAAGGAATATTTTTCGAGTTGGTTATTGGTACATTATTATATTATTATAATATAATTTCCGATGACCAAATTAATATTATGAATGCAATAGCTATCTATAGAGGTATGTACTACCTGCTACATTCATCATACCTACCTATCCTAACCTAACCGTAGATTTCCATATGACCATATGGGTACCGTAAATGGAAATCTACGATTACTTCAAAGACTCAAGTTTAAACATAAATGTTTTTATGTTTATGTAGTGGCAAACAACGGCTAAAATTCGAGAAAAGTGATTACCCACACATAAAATGTAATAGTATTATTTTGACGTAAATATTTGTGTAGGTAGGTTCTAGGATGACATTTTTACTTCAACTGTGGTCGGCTGTACAGTAATATATGCTAATAAATCCAAAATATACCTAATAAATATTAATAATAATAATAATAATATATTAATTAATACATCATAAAATTGTGCCGTTGCCGCGTTCGTCCGACCCGAGCGGAATATTTAATATTCGCTTTCACTTCACAGTGAAACCGTTTTTTAACTTTTAATTTCGGGCTTATAATATGCTTAGACGTTTGCTTTGCTATGACATTACCAAAGTAGGTGAAGTTAATTAATTAATTTTTCCATTACATAGTCACATATATAAGAAAATAATGAAGTTAAATGTTATGTACAATATACAAATGAACAAATGTGTAATTCAATAATGAAATGTATGATAGGTCATAGGTATACTTGAAAAGTTACATAACGAAAAAGGGCACAATGGACGCGATCACGGTGGACTGCACAAAATGATTTATAATTTAAAAAATAATTACTTTAATATATCAGGTCCTGATGCTTAACAATATGATAAATAGTTATTATAAGTATATAATAATATAGTCAGTGGTCGAAATGGCTCAAGATAAGTGGAGGGATGCCTTACAATTCAGATTTAAGCCTATACGAAAAATAAAAAGTTTTCTTATACATAGGTATAAATATAAAAATCATAATAATTATTTAATTTTAAAACACAAGTCTTAGGAGGAATGCGTTATTCTAGACAAAATAAGTAGAGGGATAAAAAATGTAAATACAAAAAAGTAGAGGGATGTCATCCCTCCGTATCCCCCCCACTTCAACCACTGAATATAGTTCAATTGATATTCAGCATGGGGGTAATGTTAATAATTATAATGTACTTCGAAAAAAAAACGTTATTTTATTCATTTATTGAGAATACAATTTTAAAGTTGATAAAGTTAGAACTGTTGATTCAACAAAAATATTATTAGTTTTGTAAAATTATTTATAAGTGTAAATGTGAATACAAGTGTCATGTTTTACAAGCAAAAAAAATTAAAAACCAGGGCCAATAATGCCACTACTTACACCGATTCCATGGTACCTACTATCAAAGTTTTTGATGATCAAACTACGAATTAAAATAGTATAGGTATTTTAATTCTTAGATCAAACTGCGGTCGAAATTGGCACTTGGAATAATTACAAGTGGTAATATGGTATCACCTATTCATCTTTACGTCAACCTAACCTACCATGCTACGTCGTGTGTTAATTCTGCAATAATATTATCAATTTGATAAAATGATTGTCACTAAAGAAGTTTTTGTACTCTTTGATTGTATCAAATTTAAACTATTTTCAATATCATCGGCAATTGATGTATGCTTTAAAATGTTTCATATTTTTAATTTAGAATATCCACTACAATCATCAATTGTATGGCTTTTTATACAAAAGTATTTTTATGTGCTCAACACAAAATATGATAAATCCTATCATACATTAGGCCAGATTTTATCTGATTTAAACAATGATTGAATAAAATTGTATTATTATTATTATTATTTTTTTAATAACTCAAAT